TAGTAATGTACCTTATTGTCTTCAGCCACCTTGTTGCCTAGAAAGCCTTTATAGCAAAGACTTCCTGCAAATATGATTAGAGTTCATGAACTCTCTTTGTCCTAGTTTTCCCTTAGCATCATTCATTGACCATCTGTCCTCCCTCTTAGCTCTTAATCTTATGGATTTAATACCCTTGTTTGGGAAAAGACAGCAAGAGTTATTATCTTCTTGAATCAAAGTCCACTGGCTTTCTCAAAATGTTTATAAAATAGTTTTAGTTTATCCCCCATTTTATTAAAGCAAACTATTTTACATAGTTGGCAGAGAATAGTATTTGTTTGGATTTCTGAATATACTATAGGAAGTTCAGAGTAACTAATGGTTTGGTGGTCAGAATTCAGAGGAAATGATACTGTGAAGAATATGATATGAAGCCACTGCAGTTAGATTTGAATAACTACTAGCATTTATTTATTTATTGTGAAATTTATTTTTTTCCTGCCCATCATGAAACTTCTCTTTATAAAATTAATGAAAGAGCTATAAGATAGGCACTGTGCTAGTGGCCTGAACTATGCAAAGGTATAGGCACCTGTACCTGTGTGCGTGCACACACACACACACACACACACACATTCTCTGGCCATAATTCCCTAACTTGCTTTCCTATAATTTATTACTACTCAGGAAGTCACACAGCTGCATAACATAAAGATTCTTAGATTTTATTCATTGCTCCCACAGATAAAATCACCCTTAAGAAACCTAAGTCTGGTATTTGGAGTATTTTCCAGACCCTGCCAGAGATAGTTGGTGATTATTGTCCTCTGTGACACTCAATGTTCAATGGAAGTGAGATTAGATGTCCCTGAAATTATAGGTCTTTAGAATGCATGTTATTACAAAAATAAGAAAGAAAGCTTTTATTTACTTTGAAAACTTATGTATTTGTTCAGCTTGAGTGAACTTATTGTTCTGAAAGTCATTTTCTAAGAGTTTTAAGTAAAAGCTTAATTTCCTTAATTGATAAAAATGATTGCAGAGCAGAAAATTGGGCAGAGTTTAGCGTCCTTGTATTGATTGATAAAGAAGAGAAGAGTATGATGTGTGTACCTTGCTCGTTGTTGGCATAGACTAGTTGGGCTGTTGTCATTAAACAGACCCTGTCTCTAGGAGACTCTAACATTTGTATTTTATGTGTTAATATGTATAGGCACCAGTGTCCGGGGTTAAGTGTTAAGATAAGAGTGCTTTCTTAAGAATACCTTACTATTTGCATAACCATTTCTTAAGGACAAATGAAACCCACATACACACAAAAATATTTTTTTGCTTTTAATTTGGAATTATATAGGCATTAGAAAAATATCTCCCGTTAAAAAAAGAAAAATAATATCTTTTCTAGATTCAAGAAAGGAAATGCAATGCTTAGTTAATCAAAATTTTTTCTGGGCTTCCACCTCCATCAATCAGGTTTCTGCATTCTGTGGGCTGCTAAGTCATAAATTCTTGTATGCCTCCTAACATTTAAGTGATGATGTTTTCTCTTATATTCTTTTTGAATTTGTGAATTTATGATTCTTCCTCCTACCCCTTATAGTCATTTAATTGGGTTTCACAAGGGAATAGAAACTAACATGTTTAATCCACCGAGACTAGTGTCAGTTCAAAGTTTTATTTATATATATCTGGTTTTATTACCAGTTCCTTGTATCTCTGAAGACAGGAAATGATCTTATTTTTCTTTGCAATTCCAACTTTAGCAATGTCTGCTACTAGGTAGGGAACTTCTGATAAATGCTATTGGGTGGGTAAAATAGAACCAGTGGGGGGAATGGATGGAAGTGGCATGTCGGTCAATAATGTGAGGGATTGGTTCTAAAAGATTAGAACAGAGTGAAAAGGTGAAAACAAATATGTGTGTTAGGAACCCAGGTCATGTAGAGTTGCCTTTCAAAGAAGCTAATGTACCTAAGCACTGCACTTCCTTGTCGGATTCCAATGTTTGCACTCATGATCATGTATTGCTACAGCCCCTTCTCTTCTTGTAAGACTAATTTCATTTTCAAAATTACCATGTGGCTATTTTTCAATTATTGTGTTTTTAAATATCTCCAACCCAACTGCTTTCTATAGCATCCAGGTGATCTATGGGCATTTTGTGCATCCAAGTTTAGGTCAGCCCACTCCTCACCTTCCTTAGCCACCTAGCACCATCAGACTTCTTCAGGGAGGGTCAGGCAGGAATCTCAAAGCCATCCCAAACTCCAGGGATCATGGGCCAGTTGATGCCAGAGGCTTGCTTTTGTCCTGCTCTTTTGGCAGCTTGAGGCTGGTCTCTGCTTTTCTGGAGCTCAGCAAGTAAAATTCCAAACCCTCTTCCCTAAATCTCTAGAGTTTCCTTATCACCCACACATGTCTTAAGTGAGAGGGCTAGCTGAAAATGTCTCTACTATTATGAATTTCCTCCAAAAAAAATCCTTCTTTGATGATTTATCTCTTGGGGGTTGATGAAATAACCCATTTTGCTAATTTTTAAAAAGTTCTATAGAGATGGATCCAACAACTCTCTTTAGTTTGTAAGTACTTGTTAGCTATCATTTTGTGATTTGTGCTATATATAAAATCCATAGCTGATCAAAAGTTCTCTGGCTCACACAGGGAATAGGATTCATATCTAGTTCTGCCTGATTCTAGGGTCTACACTGATGAGGCAAGTGCAAATTTGTTTGTATGAGGAATCATTATATTAGATGTATATGTTAAAAATGATAGGTAAGGAAAGGTTACAGATAAAATAGATAGGAATTACAGATAGTTACAGGTCTGTGAACTAGATATGCAAGAAATGGAATAGAGTGTGCATAAGAATTTTTTCTTGATCAGAATCTTTTCAATTTTGTTTTTTTTCTGGGGATGTACAAAGACTGTTTCCTTTGAGAAAAACTCCTGAACAAGTGTAGATGAGATATTAGGATACTTGTACTTGTTTCTTATGCTGAGGTTATTTTATGTTTTATGTGAAAAATTGCTTCATCTTAATTACTTATTGCACATAAACTTAGATGTCTTATTGGTTTGTTTGCTCAATGCTATTTCAAGTCTTATTATTTCATTATTTTTAAATTTTCTTTTGCCAGATTATATCTTTTAACCAATCAGACAATTTCTGAGGTAGCCTACTGTGTCCTGCTATTTCTCAATCCTTATTTTGTCCTCACTCTTGGGCATTTGTTTTTGGTAGGACTTAGAGTCTTCAATATGTTAATGTACATGACGGCCCACTGGACGGCTGATGAGTTTCCGGTGCCTTCTAAACTTTAAGGTCAATGAAATCTACTCACTCCTCTCACCCCTTTATATTTTGCCTTTCAAAGAATTTCATGTGACTAGTGTTCAGTTGAAACACTTCCGTAAATACTGAACCAAGAGAAAATAGTGGAGGTGACTTCTGGCATCAAGTTGGGCTTGGCTGGAATAGAAGAATAGGAGAGAGGTCAGAGGATTTCTACAGGCAGGATTGATTCACCTTCCCTGGGTTTTTACCCTGATGATTAAAATAATACATTAGCACAGAGAAGTGAGCCTAGAACTTGGGATGCTTTTATTAGAGAACATTTGCTGATTCTAACCCAGCTTTTCTAGCATAGATGTAAAAATCAATTACCTTGACAACTGCTCCAGGCTCTGATGTACTCCCCTAAAAGTGGACTCTTTCTGTGGTTGCTTGTATTTGTGTAATAAATTTCTTCTGCACTTACTTTGGGACAGGGTGATTCCACTGATGCTTCTCTGTCAATTTTCATTTCTACTGCTGTCTATGAATCTGTAACTCTTTAAAATTGCATGTTTGCTAATGATGCTTTTAGCTTTACTCTCTATTCTATTCTGATTATGAAGTTCTTTCCCTCTCTTGACTGCACCATGCTGTCCCTAGGCCCTTGGATTTTCTTCATTCTATTGACTATATGTAGAACACTCTTCATCACCTATCTCTCCATTTGTGTATCTTCTGGTCCTTCATCAGCTCTTGAATTAGGTGGCCCCCATCAGGAAGTCTCTGCTTCCCCATGGTTGGGTTTATTGATCCTCCTATGAGCTCTTTTAGGATGCTCTTTTGTATTTTGCAAGGAACTGATTATCATGGAGAATAATGATGTATTTATTTGTGTGTATTTCCAAGCAGTCTATAAACTCCTGTGGGGTAGGACTGTGTCTATAATTTTTCAACATTTTATCTACAGCACATAACACACTGCTTGGCTTAGAGTAACTTTTCTCTAAGAAATGGTGAACAAATGAAAACAGAATACTGTGTTATTTCCTTCACCAGGTAAGTGTTACTTTCATTTTACAGATACATTTTAGGTTCAGGGAAATAATAAGGTCATGCAATAAATGATTGCACTTGAGTTTATCTTAGTCAAAGGCCAAGCTCTTTCTAGAACAATGCTGCTACTTTGACATAGAAAGGTATTAATTATTGCTGTGCAATGAACTTGTTGCCATTTATGGTTGTGCATGATGAATCTCTAAAGGTGTCCTTTCATGTAAGTAAGACATTTAAGTTGTATATAAGATGGTAACTAACACGTAGCTCTTAAGGAAAGCAAAAGAAATGTGGAAATGTATGAAACTGTGCAAAGGGGCTTTCAAAAGTCTTCAAAATGCTAGCTAGTTTGTATATAGAAAGACTTTCAAGCAGCCTGGCATATAGTAAATCCCCAATCACTGATGTCTACTGTAATAACCACTATTATCTTCAGTCAAAGGATTGTACAAGGCAGCCGCCACTCTTTCAGGAAATTTAGCAATAGATATCTATACCCATATTGGCAAAACAAAATTAGTCAGTTAAAAAAAAAGGCATTAAAAAAAAAGGAACTAGCTGTGCTTCTGACAAATTCCCAGCACAGCCTTTAGGATCTCAAAAAATTTCTAGAAGAGGACTGCAGACTTGTACTGAGTGAAGTGTGGAATGAGGGAAAGGTGATAGTATCTAAAGAACCTTGACACAGAGACATTGCAGGCGGGAAGAAAAGGTAGGTCCAGGGAATTGCCTTCTAGGTTTTTGAGTTGATGCTTTTTTTCATTTCCTGATTCTAGGATTTCTGGGAATGGAATGCAAAATCATGAGGCCACTTCCCATAGTGAAGCTGGTATTGTGGGTTGGAAGAGGGTTGAAAGCACCTTTAGATGTTCCTTTGGGTGGGTGTTGAGCAGTCTTTTATGCAGAGCCTGGGGATTGGGAAAACTCCTAAAGACTGAAGCTGGATACTAGAGGAGGTTGTTTTAATCACTTCTGTTCTCCTAATCCCCAGCCTATAAAAAAAAAATTACTAATTATTTCATCTACTCTTAATGCTCCTTCTTCTATGTTCTTTATTCTCTGACTTGTTTTTATAAATCAACATTGAAGAGAGGATCTGCTACATGCAGAATTTGGTGGAGATAGAGAAGGGAACAGGGAAGGCCCCCAGTCTTGTGCATTTAGACTGATCTGGAGACAGTAGCAGCCTGACCACATTCTCCAGTGGTCCTTGGCACCATTCATGGGGCACCAGGCACCAACTGAAGCTATTAATGAAGAAGTCTACTAACTAAAGACGCCTTGAAGATTTTTAACATTCTTGGGACAAGAAAAAAGTGTGTACCCAGTGCAATTTTTCCTCAGATGAGGAAAGTGTTAGTGTTACTTTCAGGTAAGTATTACTTTCATTTTACAGATAAATTTTAGGTTCAGGGGAATAATAAGGTCATGCAATAAATAATTGCACTTGAGTTTATCTTAGTCAGATGATGTAAATGGAATCCAGAAAAGGGAACTAACATCACACATTTTTTTTATTTCACATTAATATGAGGTTATAGATGATTAGGTTACAATGTTTGCATTTGTTAGTTAAGGTCCCTGTTGTAGTTGTGCCCCTTACCCTGGAGCTGTGCCATGTACACTTACATTGTGCCCATTAGGTGAGAGCACAACCATCCCTCTCCCTCCTCCCTCTTACCCTTCACTCCAGCCCCTAACTTGAATTAAATTGAGTTTTTCTTTTGAATGAGCATGTATTAGTTCATCTACTGGCCTCGTATTAGTATTGAATACATTTGATACTTGCTTTTCCATTCTTGTGACACTTCACTAATGTTCTCCAACTCTATCCAGGTTAATACAAAAAATGTAAAGTATTCATCTATTTTATGGCTGAAAGTATTCCATGGTATACATATACCACAGCTTAGTAATCCATTCATGGGTTGATGGGCACTTAGGTTGATTCCACATCTTGGTAATTATAAATTGAGCTGTGATAAACAAGTGCAAATGTCCATATGACAAAATGATTTTTTTTCTTCTGGGTAGATGACTAGTAATAGAATTGTGGGATCAAATGGAAGGTCTATTTTAATTTCTTTGAGGATTCCCCATACTTCTTTCCAAAGAGTCTGTATTAGTTTGTAGTCCCACCAAGAGTGTAAAAGTGTTCCCTTCTCTCTACAACTGCACCAGCATCTGTAGCTTTGAGACTTTGTGATGTGGGCTATTCTCACTGGGGTTAGGTGATATCTCAAGGTGGTTTTGATTTGCATTCTCTGATGATTAGGAACAATGAGCATTTTCTCATGTGTTTGTTGGCCATTGGTCTGTCTTTCTCAGAGAAGGTTCTGCTCACGTCGCTTTCTCAGTGATAGATGGTATTGTTTGCTTGTTGTTGTTGTTGTTGATTAATTTGAGTTCTCCATAGATTCTACTTATCAATCCCATCGATTCTAGTTATCAATCCTTTGTCAGTAGAATCACACAAATTAGCACAACAAAGAAGGTAGGAGCTAAAACCCTGGACTTCTTTGATCTTCGTCCATGCCTTTTCCCTGACGAGGTTACCATTTCTACATCACCATGATTATTGTTTAACAAGCCATCCACATTCAGGCCTTCTTTTGGTTTTCTGGTCTGTTTTATGAATTTGCCAAAGAAAAAATTTCTGGCCCTTTGTACAACTCTCCCCATGCTCCCTCATTGTCTCTTTGGCAATTGTAATCTATGGGGTAGGGTTGGTGATATAAAAATAAGGAAATAAAAGATTGGTGGTGACATGGAGCCAATAGAACGGGGACTGCTTGTCTAGATTTCTGCATCTCTGTACAAGGGACAAAAAAGAAAAAAAGACATTAGTTGTCAATGGTCTGAATTGTGTCACATGAGATGCCATAAAACTAAGGTTTAGACTCTTCCCCAACCCAGAAGAAATATTCTTCATATGTGTCCAATATACTCTGTAGTTTTTGGTTTCCCTGGTATTTGAAAATACGGGAATTGGGCCACGGATACTAAACAGATATTTTTGTCCTTGGAGAATTTTACCTGCCCTGAGTAATTAACACATGGATGTCTGTAGGGTGAAGAAAGGTAACAGTTATCTAAATCCATGGCCAGAGCTTCCTTGAAAGATAGGACACCAGTTTTAAGTGATCAGAACCTATGTCACCAGACAATTATAGAAAGACTCAAAGAGTCACTTGTGAGTATCCTTAATCACTGACATCCATGTTAATAACCAATGTTATTTTCATGAGAAAGACTGCATGACACAGTTTCTGCTTTTTCAGAAAATTACAAAATAGATATTCACATCTATATTGGAAACACAGAATCAGCCCTTCTAACAGAAATTCTCAGTATAGCCTTCAGGGTTTCAAAAGACTGCTAGCAGATATGATTTAATTTGATATGATGTCTTTCCCTTAAGGAAGTCTTACTGGAGAGAGACACTGAAGGTAGTAGAGTCACCAAGTACATTTGATAAGTAAGAATTTACATTTCCTAAATCTCAAGTCTGAAGGTTTGTCTGAAACATTAAGGCAGAGGTTCCTTTACATTAAAGAAGAAAAAAAGTACATGTAGAGTTGGACTAGGGGAAAAAGTCAACTTTAGTTATGTTTACAACAACTTTGGTCTGTAGTGTAAAAGGGAAATAACAGAAATTTCTATAGACTCTTACTTACCATCATTGGTTTAGTAATCCTAGGGACCAGGGAGGTGGGGAATTATGCCTGAGAGAAGACAGAGACTTCTATATGGCTAGGGTCTGAGAAGACTGGACACCAGGCTGGGGAGGAATTATTGTTTTTGTTGCATGGTGGCCATGGGAGGGGTGGAGTATTCCTGAAAATGGGTTCAACCTATGCAAATGTCCCATTATAGAAATGGAATTGCTACTCTGGAAAAACTGAGATTAATATATATGTTTAACATGGGGTCTTTCTCTGTTGCCTAGGTTAGAGTGCAGTGGCATGATCATACCTTGCTGCCTCCCAGGAATTTGAGGTTACAGTGAGCTATGGCCACATCACTGCACTTCAGCATTGCAACAGGGCACAATCGTGTCTCTGAACAAATAAATACATAGAAAGTGATTCAAGGACAGGTTAGGGGAATGGATGTAGGCTAATGCAGCAGATTTATCTTATCTTAGCTAGTAATTTGGACTTTATACTAAGGAAGGTAAAATAAAAGAGAAGGATTCTAAAAAGGAGAGTGACATAATTATTTATGCATTTTGATATAATTATCCTGGCTACAAAATGAGGGATTAATTGGACATACAAGGTGATAAATAGACATAGGAGAACATTAAGAGGGTATGGCAATCCCCTGATAAAATGAAGACAAAAATAGCCTTAGTTTGAGGAGGTGGGGGAACTACATAGAGTTGAAAAATGGTTGTGTAAGATTAGAATATAATTAATTAAACATAGGTGTTAAGTAATAGAAGGCATCAGTGCAATCCACCAGGTATTTACCAAGGACAACTGAGTGAATTATTGAACCTTACACAAAGAAAGGACACTTATAGTCCCATTGCCATCTTATGGTTCTTCTTACCTTTAGTTCTTGCCACTCTTGTAAAGTTCTGAAATAATCTCTACTTACTTTTCCTTGCACTATGTTAATTTTTTGAAAGAAAATTTTCAAAGAAGACTGGATATCTAATGTAGGTCTTCTAAAAATTACCCCTTCTCCCTTTTGGGACAAGTTGCTAACTGATCAAATTCTGGGCTTTATTATGATGACTATAAATTAAACTCAGAGGAAGACAGTTTCCTAGAGTATAACATGATTCAAAGATATGGATTAGATAAAAAATAAGGCCTCCTATTTTATTCTATCTCGTTTCTCTGAATCAGCCTCTTGTGTTGTGCTCAGAAGATGCTAAAGACTACAGATAGGTCTGAATATACTTAGTCAATGCCATATACTATGGAACCCACCTACAAACCCTATTATCATCAGAAAAGAGACTCCAAGATAGAGGAGGGCTTCTTTCTCTGCCTCCATATAGTCCTGAATCTACCTTATTCTGTAAGAGCAAAGAGACAAACTATTCGGACCAATCTTTGAGACAAACTGCAAAAGAGAGGAAGACTCAACCACCAGCCACATGAGCACCATGAATAACATGGTCTCACCAATCATTTCACTGCTAAATTCCTATAACACTATTATTCACATGATAGAGTTACAGAGATACAAGAATAAGTAACTTGAGTAAAGAGTGGAAGAGTCAGAATTTAAATTCAGGTGGCGTAAGTTCAGAGCCTCCTTGCTAAAAAGGATCCATTACATTAGTCAGGTGAATGGAAGAACTATTTTGTTTGCATGGTTATTCGTTTATCAGTTGATGAACAACTGGGCTCATTCCACCTCTCCACCTGTTATGGAGAGTGCTACTAAGAAAGTTCATGTACAGGTTTTTGTGTGGAGATATGTTTTCATTTCTCTTGTATCTATACAAGGCCTGGGGCATATGTAAGTTTATCTTTGACATTTTGAGGAACTACCCAACCATTTTCCAAGGTAGCTGTACCAGTTTACAACCTGAACATCAATATTTGAGGGTTCCAATTTCTCTACATCCTCACCACCACTTGCTATTATCTTTTATGTTTTGTTTTTTTTTTTTCCATCCTAGTGGGTGTGATAGTGGGATATCTCATGTGGCTTTGATTTGATTTTTTTTTTTTTTTTTTGCAGTTTTTGGCTGGGGCAGTTTTTTTTTGTTTTTGTTCTTGTTTTTTGCCTGGGCAGGTTTGAACTGGCTACCTCTGGTATGTGGGGCCTCCGCCCTACTCCTTTGAGCCACAGGAGCCGCCCAATTTTCATTTCTTTAATTACAAATAATGTAAAGCATCTTTTCATGTGCTTATCAGTCATTTGTGTAATTTCTTTGGAAAAACGCCTATGCAAATTATGTGCCCATTTTAAAATTGGGTTTATTTCTTTTTTATAGTTGAATTGTGGGAGTTCTTTATGTATAGATAGATACAAGTGCCTTGTCAGATGTAGGATTTGCAGATGTTTTCTCCTATATTTTGCGTCTTGTCTTTTCACTTTCTTCATGGTGTCTTTTGAAGTTGAAATTTTTTTTTTGATGAAATTTAATTTATCTGTTTTTCTTTCATTGCTTAAGCTTTTGTCTTCTTGTCTAAGAAACCATTGCTAAAACAAGATCATAAAGCCTAACTCCTATTTTTTATCTTCTAATGGTTTAGCTCTCAGATTTAGGTTTTTGACTCATCTTCAGTTAACTTTTTGTTTGGTGTGAGAAAAGGTCCAACTTCTTATTTTTAGTTTTATTTTTTTTGCATGAATTTATGCAGTTATTCCAACACTATTGACTAAAAGGCAATTCTTTTCCCATTTAATAGTTGTGATGCCCTTGTCAAAAATAAATTAACCATAAATATGGTTTCTTTATAAGGATTTATTTCTGGATTTTCCACTCTATTCCATTGTTCTGTATGTCCATCCTTGTGCCAGAACTACACTGTCTTAAAAGTGTAACTTTGTAGTAAGTTTTGAATTTAGAAAGTATCAGTACACCAAACTGTTTTTCTTTATAAGATTGTTTTGCCAACTCTGGGTCCTTTGTATTTCCATACAATTTTAGGATTAGTTTGTTCATTTCAGGGAGAAAAAGGTAGCTTAGATTTTGATTAAGATTGTGCTGAATCCATAGGTCACATTGGGGAATATTGCCATCTTAATAATAAATTTTCTAATCCTTGAACATGGATTATACTTTTATTTATTTAATTTTTCTTTAAGAAATTAAATTCTTTCAATTTTTGAAGTTTTCAGTGTGCAAGTCCTGCATTTCTTTTGTTAAATTTATTTCCAAGACTTTTGTGCTGTTTGAAATTCTTGTAAATGAGATTGGTTTCTTATTTAATTTTCAGACTGTTCCTTGTCAGCACTTAGAACTAGCAATTGATCTTTGCATGCATATATTATTTCTATCCTGCAGTCATGCTGAATTCATTTATCAATTCTCATGCCTTTATTTTGGTGAGGGTAGAGATTCCTTAGGATTTTCTACAAACACAATCCTGTCATCTGTGAATTGAGATAGTTTTAGTTCATTCCTTCCAATCTGTGTGCCTTGTATTGTTTTTTCTTGCCAAATTTCCCTGGCCAAAACCCCTAAACAAAGTTAAAGTGTGAAAATGCACATCCTTTTTTTGCTGTTGGTGTTTCTGTCCTTAGGATGAAAGATTCAGTGTTGCACTTATGAGCTATAATACTAGCTGTGGTTTTTCATAGATCCTCTGTCAGTTTGAGGAAGTTCCATTCTATTCCTAATTTGTTGAGTGTTTTTTATGAAAAGTAGTTAGGTTTTGTCACGCTAAATGCTTTTTTTGCATCTGCACCAATCCCTGTGGTTTTTGTCTTTTATTTCATTAATGTGTTGTGCAACATTGGATTGATTTTTTTTTTTTTTTAAGGGTAAACCAATTTTACATTTCTGAGATTAACTTGACCAAGTCTTGGTGAATAAATCCTTTTCTTATGCGGCTGGCTTCTATTTGCTAATATTTTGTTGATTGTTTTTGTGTCTACATTTACCCTGGATATTCATCTGTAATTTTGTTAGTTTTGTCTTTTCCTGATTTGCTGTTGAAGTCATGCTGGCTTCATACAATGAGTTGGGAAGTATTTACCCCTTTTCTAGATTTTTCTGCCTCTTTCTCTCCTCTCCTTTTGAGATTCCCATTATGTATATGGTGATATGTTTTGTTGTGTCCCATAGATCTCTGAGGTGATATTTTTGGTGTCTTTCTCAATCTATTTTCTGATGCTATACCAGAACACTGCAGATTGGATAATTTACCAAAACAAACAAACAAAAGAGGTTTATTTCAAATTCTGGAAGCTTGAAAGTCTAAGTATGGAGCCAGCATCTGGCAAGGGTCATCCCACAGTGAAAAGGTTGAAAGTGGAAGTGAGCACACAAGACAGAGACAGAAAAATGAGGTCAAACTTACATTTACCAGCAGCCCACTCCAGCCGTAACTAACCTACTCCATGATAATTACATTAATCTATTCTTGAGGATAGAGCTCTCCTGACTTAATGAACTCATAAATGGCTGTCATCAAGGAGATAGGCAGCAATGGGGAGAGAGATAAAATATGAGTAGACTTGGGATTGGAACTTGAAGAAATTTCTCTAATTTGAGATGTCCAACATATTTATCTCACTTCTGTGCATATGTCCCTTTCTACAAGACTTTCTAGCACCTTGGTATTCTTGGCATTTATCATGCCCCACTCTCTCTTGTTCTCTCTCTCTCACTCTCTCCCATGTTGCTTTTTCCATTTCTCTGGCTCTGACAGTTATCATATTATAGTTAGGGAATGTCCAGATTTTTACCTCAGGAAAAAACTTGCCTCATCATGTCATGCCCTTCTCTTATTTCCAGGACCTTATCCTAAACTATACATTTGATTGTAGCATTTTTTCTGCTGCCATGACAACCATGCAAAGAAAGGAAGAGACCAAACCAGATCTTGGCCTGGGTGTGCCCCAGCCTGCTGTTCTACACTCATATCTGTGGAAAAGGATGCAAGAGAAGTTCTTGAAAGGGAAACCAAAAATCCTTGGGGTAAGTCATTTGCAGATCTGGGAGAAGGCCAATGGGCTTGTCAACTCACAACTGATCACATCTATCACCCAATACACTGTCCCATTAGCTTTGTAATACATAAACCAGCCTAACAGACATCAGTATTTGATTTTTAGAACCTATCATATGAAAATGAAGTAATATTCTATCATAACATGCTTCCAATTTGGTTATATTTAACATACACTGACTTCAGATCTGTTCTGGGGTTGTGGGTCATCCATGATAATTATATTTGCCCCCAGCATGGAAGAGCCGCAAAAGAAAAGAAGTTACCTGGGCACTAGTTGATGTCCCCATCACAGGCCTTCCTCAGAGCTGATGGACCCATGTTGCTACTATTTCTCTCTGATACCTTTTATTAGCTCCACTGCTCAGAGGATTTAAAAAATCTGTCCTCTGAGCATGTCCATCTGGAGGCTCAAGTGAGTGTTCCTAAAACAAATGTATAGTTTAAAGAATGGTGGGTTAGGGTAAGGAACCAGTACAGAGGTTTATCCCTAGCCCAATCTTCAGACCACTGGGAAAAAGTTACTGTGAACCTTTTGGATCCTTCCCCCTCTCCTCAGTTATAGTTAATAATTTTTTTTTTGTTTTTGGCCGGGGCTGGGTTTGAACCCACCACCTCTGGCATATGGGGCCGGCACTCTACCCTTTTGAGCCACAGGCACCACCCAATAGTTAATACGTTTTAAATATGGAAAACATAATTATTTTTCTTGAAACATGTTATTTATGTTGGCATATATTCGGTTTATTTTTAACACATTAGTAAGTATTTGAAGATGACTTTATGTTTTAGAATAATTCTAGGTTTACAGAAAAATTAAGAAGAAGGTATAGACATATGCCCCTCCCCTACACATGCATAGCTTCCTCATTATCAACCTCCTGCACTAGAATGGTGCATTTGTTACAATCAATGACCCTACTTGACACATCACTACTCAGAGTCCATAAACTGCATCAGGCTTCATTCTGTGTTGTACATTCTATGGGTTTTGACAAATGTATAATAGTATGTATCCACCATTATATTAAATAATAATATATAAAGCAGTTTCACCACCCTAAAAATTCTTCATGCTCTCTGCCTATTCATCCTTTCCTTACTCCGAGCCCTGGCAACCACTAACCTTTTATTGTCTTCATAGTTTGCCTTTTCCAGAAAGTCATACAACTGAAACTGTACAATAGGTAAAAAATAATTTGGTTCTTTTTAAAATTTTTATTTATTTATTTATTTTTGAGACAGAGTCTCACTAATTGAAGAGTTTGGCATTTATTTCAATCTTCTCAGTCTGAGCTTGGTTGAACTTATCCTTCTTGAGAAGGCTTTCCAGATAGTCAAAGGAAATTGAGTGTTGTGATCTAAGTTTTTGGTCATTGCAACCATATCAGCACTGGCGGTGCCCCAAGCCCAGTGATGCTGCAACTCTTGCATCAGGCTCCTGGCGGCACTGCCTTGGTGGACTTGAGTGAGGTACAAGAGAATTCTCTGAATTTTCAGGCAAAATCTCTCACTGTATCCCTCATTGGCTGTGCTGTGTTGCTGCAGTTGGGAGAATAATATGAGTATTCCTTCATGGCCATGCCAGGTCACACCTAAAGCCATCCCAGTCTAACCCAAAGCCCATGGTGACTGTTGCCTGGCTACTTCTGACATTTATTCAAAATCCAAGGGCTCTTTAGTCCACAGACAGTCAATCCTACTGGGACTGGGTCCTTCTCTTCAGAGCAGCATGTTTCCTTCTGGCCCAGAAATGCCATCTGGGAACTAAGACTTACACTCAGGGGCTTTAGGACTCAGCTTGACATCTTATTTTACTGTGGTTGAACTGGTACTCAAATACAAAACAAAGTCTTCTGAACTCTCTCCTTTTATTTCCTCAAGTGGAAGAAGACTCTTCTTGAGCTGTGCCACCTGAAGTTGGGGGAGGGATAACACAGGCACTGGCTTGGCCACCAACTCTGGCATCTCACTGGGTCACATGTACCTCAAAGTCCACTGGTTCTGAGCCAGCACAGCTACAGGAATTGTTCAAGGAATTGCAGGCTTTGTGAGCTAACTGCTTTATGAATTTTTATCCACACCACAGTCCAGCCAGTGGTGGGGCCAATCAGAATTTAATTTGGGGGTGGAGAGGATTTCCTTGTGGCTGGGTTTGTCTTAATTCTCCCTCCATAGGCACCAGCAGAATTCTGTTCTATGCAATGTTTCTCTGTGCCAGCAATGGCCCTGAGTTTCAATGCAAAGCCCACAGTGACTACACTGTCCTTCTCCTGGGCACACAGATTCTCTCTTCTCTGGGCATGCTTGCAAGGCACTGTCCGGGTTAGGGGGAATGTGGGGCGTAGGCAGTGTGTGGTTGTCTTTTCTGCTCTCTTCAATGCATCCTTCCTTGATATAATGTTAAAAACAAATGGTATGATAACTCACCTGAATCTTGGTTTCTTCTGAAACTACATTCTTGCACGGATAGTTGTTGAATTTGGTTTTCGTACAGAGGGACATTGCTGTTTTCTATTAGGACATTTCTATTCGGCCATCTTTCTCTGTTCTTCCTCAACTCTCCTATGTTTAGACCCCTGTACTCACACTCATGTCCCCATGCACCATACCCAAGGCAAATATAATATTTTCTTTTCTTTTTTGTCTTTTCCTCTCCATACACTCTCTTCCTCCACATTGCTTCTCCTTGTTAGAATAACTGCTTTTGAATTCCTTAGTCACTTCTCTTTGAGCATATGATAAGGAGAGCAACAGCTGTGGCAGAAGTAGCACCCTAGAAAATGACCTCTGGGCTGATTCTTATGTGCTGCTTTTGACACTGAAATCATTGGGACAATGATGGATATTCTGAAAAACAATTCTGGTAAGTAGGTACATTCATGGTTCTTTATGTGGGGGCAGAAGTGACAAGAGAAGATTGAGAAGGTCATGTAATTGTATCAAAATATGGAGAATGAGGGTAATGATGATCGGAAAGGAGATGGTGTGGATACTAGCTTTGTCGTAAATGATCAGTTTTTACTTTTTCATCATTTTTAGATTGTGCAGATTATGATTGCCCTGGTCAACCTCAGCTTGGGCATAATAATGATGAGTGTTACACTGCCATTTTATCAAGCACGTCCTATTTCTGTGTACATTGGATACACGATTTGGGGGTCCATCATGGTGAGCAAAATTCCTTCTGATATAATTGGAGATAGCATAATGTAGTGCTGTTAATACCCTCATCTCTGGAATCCTTCCTCTATCTTGTAGTTCTATAAATTTGAGAAAAGTACCTCAATGTCTTTTAACTCAGTTTTCTCTCACTTTAAATGGCAACAATAATATGAAACTCATAGAAAGGTAGATAGATTAAATATTTTGTATGTGTATCCATTAGGATATAATACAGCAGCATATAGCCAACCCAGTGGCTTACACATTGAAACTAATGATTATTTCACAGCAAGACTCTCAGTGGCTAGTCATTTCCTGGGTCAGCGAACTCAGTGGTGCAAAGATCTGATCGAGGATGTTGATAGATCACATGAGAGTGGGTATTGTTGACACATATCATCTTATGTAAATGTTTAAATGTGTATTCCAAAACCAACTATGGTTTGGACTAATTAAGACTCACCTTTGGGGCTTGGAAAAGCTCACCCTACCTTAAAGCTCACAAGAGACTAAAAAACAGGGATGTGGCTGGAACACAGGCAGTTTATAGTGTGTCCCCTATCAACTATCAAATATCAGCATCTTGCTAGCTTAGAAAAAGGAATTGCTATTGGGTAAAATACATTTCACAAGTTAATACACAACAACTGTAATTAACATTAAGATGCAATTATAACGAGAATTTAAGAGGATTTAAAAATTCTTCCCTCAAGACAAAACACAGGAGAGTTTTTAATGCAAATTTAGAGTGAAATTGAGCACAAAATATCAAGTTTGATCTACTGACAAGAGGAAAATATAATTTATAAACTAGGTTTACGTGCGACTCAGAGAATCTATTCTAGTATCGCGGAGTCTCCATTAGTCCACAAAGTTCAGAATGAGACAGTTTAAAGGGTATTAAGTTGCTTGCTTTTGCTCGCCTTCACCTGTTTACAGCAGAAGTACAGGATTTGAAGAATGGAAAGTGCTGTTCTACTTCTGGGAAGTTCCACAATACTTTTTATACCAAAAATATTAATGCCTCATTAAGCCTTACTGTGATCTTCTCATTCTATTAAGTGCTTTCTATGTGTAATTTCATTTGAAGCAATCACCACAAACTTCTAAGGGAGGATTTATTATCATCCTTACCTGCATTTTTCCTCTTATTTCTAGTTTATTATTTCTGGATCTCTGTCAATTGCAGCAGAAAAAAGAACTACAAAAGGTCTGGTGAGTAATAATATTTCTTAGTTTTTTATTACAAAAAAGGGCAGGATTAATCAAATATGTGTTCTATCAGGGCATAAAATAGATTTTGCTATTAGATTTTTAAAAACTCAGAAGAGATTGGACCTAGTAGGATCTTTTAAAAATAACCAGACAATTAAGTAGTGATAGAATTACTGCATGGGACTGAATATTTTGGCACTGAGAGAATCTTCATGAAGATGCAGAGAATTCTTGAAAAAAATGACTAGTGGGATCAGTCCCGATCTCTGGCAGCTTGAGACCTAGCACATGACGGTGACACTAAATACTGGTATAAAGTAATATATATTGATTGATTAATTAAAGTTTGTGTTCCACCTGTGTCCAGAAAGGACTTTTAGTTTGTAATAAAAGAAATTCACAATAAGGTTATTACATAAGAAGAAGCACGTTTAAAATGTAACGTCCATACCAGTATGTCTTTCATAAAGGCAAGAAAAGGCAAAGCCCAGTTCTCAAAAAATATTTTTCTAGCTAACAATCATAATTGAGTTTTCTTTGCTCAAAAAATAAATATCAAACTCTGGAGCATGGTCCATATGACCTTTCCAAATGTGGCTTCAATCTGCTTTTCTTGCATCTCTTCTGTGGCAATTATTAAAACGTGTCTTGAGTCATGGGTACATTAAACCTCTCACACTTTCCTGAACCATTTCAGTTTGTATAAAAAGCCTCCTTTCCTTCACCCATGAGAAGACATACACAGCAGAGAGATAATGGACAGAAAGTTTAGAGGCAGGAGAGGCAAGCAGCACTGAGAAACGACAAGGCAGATAACGGCACCAGTGGACACAGCCAGGGCTGTCCAGCCAGAATGCTAAGGGTATTTGTGGTTTATGTCATGTGCCCACAGAAGCCAACTGAAGGCTTTATGCTTGGAATAGCAGCATTCTATTTGTGTTTTGGCAAGAGGTTAGAGCTGAAACTATGATAGGCAGCCAAGTTAAAAGACTTGACATATTCAAGATAATGGATTGTGTTGGGAATGAAATGGTGGGTGTAAAGTGATTCAGGGAGCTAGATCTGAGGAAGTAGTTGGATTGTTGACCTGAATTTCCTTCCCTTCTAGGTCCGAGGTAGTCTAGGATTGAACATCATGAGCTCCATCTTTGCTATCACAGGGACCATAATCAGTGCAGTCAGCCTCAGTATGTATTCATTCTATGCCAATTACTGTAACTATAATCAAAGGTCAGAAGATTGTTCCATAGTCACGACCATTTTATTGGTAAGTGCTTCTTTTCATGGGATACTATGGTGGAAGCAAGTCTGGGAGTGCTGGCCCTGGCAAAAGCAATAATCAACATTTTCTAATTGTTAAATGACTTTGGGAAGTTAGAAATGATGGAGAAATAGGATAATTAGGAGTCAGGTCAACATCTCATCTCTCTCCTACCTACTCCTTAATGGTAGGAAATTCAAAATGCTGGCATTTTGAATAGAATTTTTGTTTAATTTTAATGCTCTGATCAGTAGGTACCGTTAACCTCCTCTCTAAATGGAGCCCAGATTTCAATCCTACATGTTCCCTGGGTTTTCTGATAGAGTTACATGGTTCTCTGATAATAAAGTGAAATTGTCTCAAACATTATCTTACAAGTGGTGAGTAGCCTTTCTCACATCTCTGCGTGTTCTGGCAAGGTTCACCACTGTTAGCCTCAACATCTGGCTTCTGGCAAATTCTCAATCTCCATTTTGTATTGTACCATTTTTTTAAAAAAAATACCAACTGCCCTTGTTTAGATGCTATCCTAATTGTTTTATCTGTCAAGTTACCACTTGCATTATGTTTTATAAATAGTCAAACTTCTTGAAGTTTTGGGCTAGTGGGTAAAGAGTGGGGAAGAAGCAGCACATCATAGCAGACTAAAATGCATAGTTCAATCCTTACTATTAAAAAGTCTATTGGAAAAAAAATTACTTATCATACCATCCTCCCCCCCCCAAAAAAAAGTCTATTGGCCATTCTCAACACCACCAAATTTTCTATTAGCTTCCCTTCATATGATCTTTCAGCCTTTCACCTCTCTACTGAGCTCGTTTCATTATTTTTCTCCTTTGCTCACCTATATGTGGAAACTCAACGTAAGTCTTGAGGGCTATATATTTACACTAAAATAACGTTTCGAGGTGTGTTTGCTAAACTTGTTTACTTAGTTTGAGATTTCCAAAAAGTTTTTATAGTGAGCAATTTTATTTCTTGCCACTCATTCAAAAAAAAGAAAAGAAATCTTCCTCTGATAACTTGAGAAATTTTTCCAAAGTCGCTAAGTTGGAAATTGGCTAAAGCAAGATTAGACTTTGGAATTCTTTGCTGCTAATTCCTCTGCTATTTGCTATTTACCATTGTTATGGTAAAGAAGAACCTTTACTTTTGGTTTCTCTGAAGTCCTCTCTACTCAGAAGGCTTTAAGGGCACAATGATAGTGACAAAATCTGGAATTGGCTCGCTTCATAGGGCCAATTTCCCATGAGCGTGAGACCTACATTGTTATTCAAGACTTCATAGTTAGAAGAGCCCTATGCTTGATTTAATGCTGTTACTGTATTGAAATTCTTTAAAAAAAAATAAGTAAAGAAGCTAATCTGCACATTATGGAGCTGATTCTTCATTCATCAAACATCTCCCAAAGGCCATTATGAATTCTTTTTAATAGTACAGACATTTTTTTTTCAGCCTATTCTTATAGCAGAGAATCTCCCTAAGAGCCTCCTAGAATTTAAAGCAACAGCTCCCTGCCTGGGAGCCTGCACAATCTGTTTACAGGTCTAGGAGTCCATATTTCATGCCCCTTCCCAGGTTTGGTACTCTGGGGTACATAGGAAGGAGAATTGCTCCCTCCCATAAGGAAGCTCCAGAGAGAAAAGACAGAAATACTGGACAGCATAAATTATAAGAAGAGGTTCTAAAAATGTGACCTCTTTGTAGAAATGAGGAGTTAGAGAACACACTAGCTGGAATCAGTAGGCAGAATCATAAGAAATTGCCAATGATCAGCCATACCTGGCCTAGCAGACTGTTTCATGCAGCTCAGACCAATATATTCATATACATATACATATGTGTGTGTATATACACATACAGAGGGTGCCAAAAATGTGTACACATTTTAAGGAAGGAAAAAACTAATTAAAATTACAATACCCAGGTCGCATTTGACTTCTATAATTACAAGAGGAGTTTAAATGTGACTTGGATCTTTTGTTATTAATATGTATTATTACTATTTTAGTGCAGGTTTTTCCTTTCTTAAAATGTGTACACATTTTTTGGCACCCTCTGTGTGTGTGTATATGTAGACACATACACACGCACATGCACATGCTTTTTGTTGGAAGTCTAATCTAGAACCTGTTTTTGTAAGTAAAATTTAACTGAAATATATTTGTTTACATATTGTCCACTGTTTTGAGTTACAATAGCAGAGTTAAGCATTTGCCACAGAGAACTTCTGGTCAATAAAACTTAAAATGTATGTGATCTGGCCTATTATAGAAAGTTTCCCAACTCCTAGTCTCCCCTGCTAGATCAAGAAGATAAGGAATCCTTGAAGATTCCTTGAAGATAAGGAATTGTCTGTTTTGTTTGCTGCTCTAGCTTCTGTGTCTACAACAATGCTTGAAACATAGAGGCCACTGCATCTGTTGAAGGCAGAAGTCAATAACAGTGAATGCAAATGTTCTCAAGGGCCCCTGAGTCTGCATCACTCATGCCTAAGCTTTTGGTTCCTGGCCCTTCCATTGCACAGGGACTGTCTTTAACCATGGAGAGAAAACAGTATTTAAATCAAAGAATACCCTGCATCAATCCAGAGTAAGACTATTAGGAATAATATACTTCCATATGTTCCCCAAATTTGATCATGTGTTTTGGCTGAAGACAATCTAAGACCAATTCTCTTGAGAGATGGATTAAAGACAGATTAACCTGACATTCATTGTTGCATTAGTTTCTTATAGTTGCTGTAATAAATTACTACAAATTTAGTGGCTTAATACAAATGGATTACTTTATATTTCTGGATGTCAGAAGTTCAAAATAGTTCTTGCTAAGCTAAAATTCAAGTGTTGATAGGGCCATATTCCTTTCTGAGGGATAAGGGGACAATGTGCTTCTTCGCCTTCTTTGCCTTCTTTATGCTTTCTTTGCCTTTGCTTCTGGAGGGTATCTACATTTCTTAGCTGGTCATCCCATTCTCTATCTTCAAATCAAGCAATGCAGCATCTTCAAATCTTTCTTGAACTTTGACTCTTCTGCTTCTTGCTTCTACTTATAAGGATTTTTTCATTACTTTGAACCCATTTGGACCATGTAAGATGATGCTCTCATCTCAATGAATAAGTCAACCTTAATTTCATCTACAACTTTAATTCTCCTTTGCCATGGGAATTATTCATGGGTTCTGGGGATTAGGTGTAGAGAAACAATTATTCTGTCTATAATCACTGAGATATGGAATCATGTTATTGCGTCCACTACATGAAATGTACAGTACTTAATTATCTTTATGATCCTTTCCCATTTTTAAAGCACTTTTGGATAATTCTGTGCCCATGTTAGCACTGGAAAGTAATAGAATGGGGACAACATATCATTGGTTATTTCAAAAGTGAAAACAAATAAGAAGATAAGTGACACTGAGTAGACCAAGAATTGGCCAACAGTATAGTTTCAATTAGGAGCTAGGTATTCTGATTTCTGGCCAGTGGTTTTTCTCTTTTGGTGTTGGAGTTAGCAGTAAATGCTTGAAATTGTCAGTTCTATTCCTCACCTTCTTTTGTTATGGATTTGCTCCTAGGGCATGGATGCTATAGTGGCCTGTTTTAGTATGCTGGAATTCTGCATTGCTGTGTCCCTCTCTGCCTTTGGATGTAAAGTAATCTGTTGTAACTCAAGCGGGGTGAGTCTTGGCCTTCTCCTGTGTTAGTTTCCTATTGCTGTGTAATTTCTCATTTTCCATGGGTTAGTGGACTTCCATTTAGAATCTTGCTAGGCTGCAGTGAAGGAGTTGTCTGGGGCTTTGGTCTCTTGGGAAGCTTTGACACTCTTCCATGCTCATAAGGTAGAATTCATGTCCTCTCAGGTGTAGAACTCAGGAGGATGTGCTTTTTCTTAGGGTTGCTGGGGGAGGTTGTTGCCACTAATCTCTTGGTGTGAACCCAGAACAATAATGGCTTTGGGGCAAATAATGCTTTATACCACTATCTCTTCCTGGTACTACTTGCCAGCAATCCCATGCGACACTAATTTTGTGGAAGGACTAATTTTTCTTAGTTTCATGAAGGTCCCTGCTATTTTGAGCCATTATGATTTTTGCAATGATTTGTTTGTGTCTAACAAATCATAATTTGGGTGTCCTCCTGCTATCAACATAAGAAACCTGGTTCAAAGAAGAGCTCTATATTTTTTTGTGATACCTTGGTTTACCCAACATGTTGGGCATCATTATCCACATGTGATATTGATTCACTTATTACAGCATAGCAACAGCCATCAGCACTCAGCCTACGAATTATCACTGAATGTGCGTGTCTAGGGAATCACCAAGAAGCCCTTCTAGATTTATCTTGAGAAGGAATTGAGAGAAGAAAGTATAAACTCTGACAATAATGACAGTATGTGGGCAGGAGAGGGAACCCCTAAGGTTATTTGGGTGACTCACTTATGGCATTCTGATTGATTTCACAGGTTGTGCTAATTCTGCCACCAAATCCTCATGTGGCAGAAACAGCAGCTCCTACACCATCTAATGGAGGTTTAATGCCAACAACAGATCAATAGAAAAATGTTCCAGAAAATCTATACTGATTGTAATTCAAGAATTCCACATGGGAAAGTGCTGGATCCAGCTTCCATATATACATACTTAAAACGATACACAAAATTTCAATCCCATTTTGAAATATTATATACATACATATACATATATTCACACACTGAATCAACTCAAAATCATACTCAGCTGTCAAAAAATAAAATGGTAATCTGGTATCTTTTTGGATAACCTGGATGGAACTGGAAACCAGTCTTTTAAGTGAACCATCACAAGAAAGGAGAAACAAACACATGTGCTCAACACCAAATTAGAACTAATGGCTCAACACTTAAGTGCTGTGTGGAAGTAAATCTCAGTGAAAATGAAGCTGGGGGAGAGGAGGAAGAGATGGGTAAATTCACACCTGTGGGGCATAGTGCACACTATCTGGGTGAAAGACACCCAGATATAACTTTGACTCAATCTGTATAAAAAGAATATGTAAACAAAATGTGTATACCCCCGATAGTCTGACATTAAAGGAAAGAAAAAAATCATATTCTTGTTTTTTTCTCAAAAACTCAACTACTCACTGTACAGGCTCTTTATCAGAGTATCCAAAATTAAATAAATACATCATGCATTTGATGAGGCAACGTGAAGGTTTTTCATTCATTTTTAGGACTTTATATAAGGGTATTAAATTGGCAGGAAGTATTGCTGAAATGAGGCCTCTATGAAGAATATATATTTCTGCTTTCCTCTCTAACACTCTTCCCACCTGTTTAACATTTTTTTTCCTACCTTTGAGGACATAAAGTGCTCTTTTCTTCAGGGAGCTGATACATGGTTCTCCCCTCTCCTCCTGCTTTCCTTCTCTCACAAAAAGTACCTTGGAATAGCACAGTCAGTCTTTGCATATACAGAAGCCATCATTTGAGTTATGTTGAGCTAACTCAATATGTAGCATGTCTATATTTCCCATCCTGTAAGTACACACTGGAGTAAAAATCACATCATGGCTCAGATTCCATTTGTATTTCCTATCTATTTCTTCTTCCTCCTCCCTTCCCCTCCATTGGACAGAATTATATCTTAATCAAATTTATATCTAGTATCATATATGAAAATGTGCAACACATGGTATTCGCTAAATGTTTGTTAAATACATTTGCTTTTTTATAGCAGAGCAAAAATAAAATTAGAAGCAATATGTTCATGTGCTACCTAGTTCCCATTCAGATGCAATATGGTGGAAAGAGACCAAGGGGGATGTGAGGAAATATAGTAAATAATGTGGAATTTCTCACATCACTAAGTCCCAAAACACCAGATGCTGGCGTGCATGTGGAGAGAAGGGAACACTGCTAAACTGCTGGTGGGATTGCAAACTAATACAGCCTTTTGGGAGAGAAGTATGGAGAATCCTCAAAGATCTAAAAGTAGGCCTTCCATTAGATCCACAATCCCATTACTAGATATCTACCAAGAAGAACAAAAATCATTTTACTACAAAGACATTTGCACAAGATATTTATTGCAGTTCAATTTATAATAGCCAAGTCATGGAAGCAACCTAAATGTCCACCAACCCATGAATGGATCAACAAACTGTAGTACATGTATATCATGGAGTATTATGCAGCCATTAAAAAAGATGGAGCCTTTACATCTTTTCCATTTACCTGAATGGAGTTGAAATACATTTTTCTTAGTAAAGTATTGCAAGAATGGAAAAGAAAATTTCCAATCCAAAACTTCATACTAATATGAAATTAATATGTAAATAATTACATGCTCATAAGAATAATAAAACACTAATATAGTCCAGTTTAGGGGTAGAGGGAAGCGGGAAACGGAAAGAAGGAGGATGTCTGGCAGAAGGAGGGAGGGCAGGAGGTATGATCTCACCTAATGAGCATATTGTGAGGGTGTATAAAACGCCCCTGGCCGAAGGGCTCTTCTACAAATGGAACTTTACCCTAGAAGTGAGAACAATGTAACCTAAAAATTATACCCTCATATTAATTTGAGAAAATTTTTAAAAACGCAAAAAAAATGTGGGCTTTCTAATTGGAAAACCCTGGGTTTTCATCTTGAAATCCCATCTTTTTTATTTGTTACCTGTGTAGCCATGAATATACCACAGAATTTCTCAGTGGCTTGTATTTCTCTTAAAGAAAATAGTGGGCAGTGCCTGTGGCCCAAAGAAGTAGAGCACCAGCCCCATATGCTGGAGGTGGTGGGTTCAAACCCAGCCCTGGACAAAAACTGCAAAAAAAAAAAGAAAGAAAGAAAAAAGAAAAAGATACTACCTATCACATAGGCCTGCCGTAATTACTTGATACAATATAGATTGAACAACCACTACTCTCTCTGGCACATAGTGGGCCTTGAAAATTTTAATTTATATATACATGATTATATATGCATATGTGTGTATTTATATATAGATTCATTGTTTTATTCAACACATATTTATAAAGTGTCTGTGACAAGGCAGACATTTTTTAAGCATATGAGAAAATCGTGGTGAACGAGAATACCATTGGTGAACCGTGGTGAACATGGTACCGTGGTGAACGAGACAATACCATTCCTCTCTTACAGGTTAACTTTTTAGGCAAGACATAAGTTAACATATACACAATCAATCAAAATACTTTCAAATGTTAGACGCTATGTGGAAGGTATGCAAAATAAGGGGTTAGAACATGGTTGTGGGTACTGATGTCGGTGGTGTGGAACATTAGAGGGTAACCAGGGAAAGTTCTTTCTACAGAAGTGACATTTTCATACTGATAGGATAAAAATTATCACTGTGTTTTCATGAGCTTTGTAGTGTGTCTATATTTCCCATCCTGGGCTGCACTCACATAGCTATTGTAGTACACACGTGCATGCCGTGGGTTGTATTTTTTCAATATTTTATTTACTTTAGAACTAGGGACGAGCCTCTAACTGATGCAGCTTCCACTTATAAATGTATCATGTGCATGCAATTCAAATATTTATCTTTTAATTAGATCCTCTGAATGTTTTATAAGAAATCTGTTTTAGTTGACTTAGTAATAGAGGTTTCATAATTCAAACATTTTTAGTTTTTCTGTTTGGAAGATATTTAGTTCAAGAAGAAAATCAGTTCTAAGTCTTTGTTTATAAATATGATATCTTCTCTATTCCCAATTAGATTGCCCATGTCAGAGGCTGCTGTATTCCCCAGGTAGAGATTTGAAAGGGCCTAATGAACACCACAGAATGTGCTCGTATAAGGCTTTTATCTGAAGCAAAGGTGCCAGAGAGAGGGCAGGAGACACTCCACAGTATGAGCTTCTCATCGGCCCAACCAGGCTTGTGCACCATTCTAGTCTTTGATTTGAACTGCCTGGATCTATGTAAGAAACTCTCAGTATCTTATTGTGTAATCAAGGAAGTTTTCTCAAAGCCATTAAGCTAGTTATAAGCCATCAGTAAAGATACTTGCACCCAGCCAGAAGAGTTTGGGTTTTAAATAGCACATGATAATTCCAGTGTTCTTATCTCAAACCAGTCAAAATCCACACATTCAGTCATCTCCAGGGATAAAGACAGAGCCCTTTCAGTGCAGCTGTAAATTAATGCTATCTCACAATATCTTTACACAGCAAAGATTACTGAGCATCTACTATAGGCCAGGCACTGCTGGTGATGCAGCCGTGAACCAGCTGAGCTGTCCATGGCTTTGTGGACCTTCCAGGTATATTCTACCATTATTCTTCAGGAAGAAGTTTTAGCACATTCAGTGCAGAGTTCTCAGTTAAAAGCAATTATTATCCTTAAACTTAATTATTTCCTTGTCATTAGCCTCCATTCACCATACTGAAACCCCCTGACCTACACCCTTGAAAGGTATAATATAGATTTATTTTAATCCCTAACTTTTTGATTGTGCTTTACCCAGTAATACAACGCAATAATATTGAAGAGAAGCCAAACACACACACAAAATACATCCTGTATGATTCTATTTATTAACACATCAAAACCAAGCAAACTAACCCCAGGTAGTAGATACCAAGACAGTGGTTATTCTTGGTGTAGTGGCTGGAAGGGAGCAAAAGGGTTCTGGGCCTCCCTGCATGCTGGATATTTTCTACTATTTTAATTTGGAAGATAAGAAAACAAGTTCCTTCACTTTGTGATTATTCACTGAGTTGTACACTTATAATTCCCACTAAAACATCCTAAATCTTTGTCAAAGGCATTATTTCTAGTAAAGCTCGCCTAACACAAAAAATTAATCTTAGAAAAGGTTTTCCACATCTTTATGTAAAGAGATTTTAAATGAAGACATTTATTTATAGGTAATCATCTAATGTATTATACATATGTATATATACCAAGGAAATGTATATATAAAGGAGATGGCCATTTTTATGTTTGTGACAAGGTTTAAGGTTCTCTGAATAAATCAGTAACTGCACTTAGCATCCCAGCTACTTGGGGAAACTGCCTTACCTTCTGTCATGGTGGGTAAAGTGTCATGGCATCGTAGCTCACAGCAACCTCAAACTCTTAGGCTTGAGCAGTTCTCTTTCCTTGGCCTTCTGAGTAGCTGGGATGACAGGTGCCTGCCACCATGCCCAGCTAGTTTTTTTCTGTTTTTAGTAGATATGAGATCTTGCTCTTGCTCAGGTTGGTCTCAAATTCTTACACTCAAGTAATCCACCACCTCAGCTTCCTAGATTGCTAGGATTACAAGTGTGAGCCATTGCACCTGGCCACCATCTCCTTATTTGTTGTCCCAAATCAATAAACTGAAAAGAAATATTCCAAGACATTTTCAGATATAAATTATAAAACAAAAAGTACCAAGTAACATGTGAGACACAATAGAAAGCAATCGCTCTGAGGCTATTGCTTAGATGCAACAAAAAAAGAGATTTTTTGTTTAAAAACAAAAAACAAAAACCAAAGGCCCACAGAGATTAAATAGAATGAGAGGCTCTTTCTAGCACATGCATGCTTTATTTTGCCTAATTCTCAGTTTGAGGGCACTATTTCCTTCCTTTCACATTTCCCTCTTTTTCTCCATTAGGGAAGAAAGTTCTCGGTCATGAACTAGAAGTTCCAGTCACTCTGGTGCTCTAGCCCTCCCTTGTCTGAGGTCCTTGAATGATGAAGCTGTGGCCAGGCTGAATTTTTAGCTGATGACTTTCTGTTGCCCAACAGTACCTTATCCGCAGGAGATGATGCGCAAGGCTAAAATTCTTGCAAGATAATATCCAGCGTATGTTTTCCCCACCATGAGCATTTAGGAATTTCTTATGTCTTTTCTTAAGAGATTCTATCCAAAGGGGCGAAGGAAGAGGACAAATGGAGGAAGGAAGAGATGCTGTCTACCATCTTCTAGCTTTTGTTTTAAGAAACTCCAAAGAATAATACCCCACAGAAGGGTTTATTATAAGTGCTTCAGAAAGATGTATCAAGAGAGAAGAGTTCCTAGCATGTGCAGTATGACAGGGGTCATGGAATAGAGGTGGTAATCAAGATAATTAAGAGAAGAACAGATGTCCGTAGGGAATAGAAAAAGATCTTGAGGGAGAGGAGCTGGAGAGTAGGTACTAAAAGCTCAGATGCAGATGGGACCTGGGACATAACACAACCTAGCAGGGAAACAAAAGCCAAAATTATTGTTTTGGGTCCAAAGAGTTAAAGTCTTCTTATTCTTCAAGTAGAGAATTTTAGATCTCACAGCTCACATACCTGAAGGAACAAGGGATATTTTATGAAGAATCTCACAGTTGTAGCTAGAGTTAGATGGCCACCAAAACTACTCCCCAATTCCCTCCTTGTCACACACAAACACTTTCTCCGTCCCAGGCAAATGGATGACTTTCCACCTCTCAGCAAAACTGGATCTACTGCCAAGAGAATAATAACTTGAGTGCCATTGGCAATATGGTGGAATTGGAAGTGTCAGGCCCTTGTTCCCCCATGGAAACAGTGAGTTAACAAAAATATACAGACTAAATTGCTTTGTGTGAACTCTGGAACTAGTTAAGAGGTTGAAGCACACTGTGCTGAGTGCAAATGACAGTAGCATTTCACACTCCCTAGCCGCTCTCTCACCCTGTTACAGTGTGGTCTGCTGTGGAGGAAGCACCCACATCGCAACTTCACCCCCAGAAGGAAAAAGGAATAGAACATGAACCCAGGACCATGGCTTTTGGGGAGCTTTCTAGGAGACTACCTTACTCAGAGTGCCAACAAAAACCTACATAGCTTGTATGCCAAGTTAGGAACCCCTGAAAACAAAGGCGAGTACCACTGTTTCAACACAAGAGAGATTGTAATACTGCAGACAGACTCCAGGAGGATAAAGAGGTAATGAGCTCCAGAGAAGTGAGCAAACCTTTTTAACCGGGAAATTAGACACACAAGTCCAGAGAAGATGCTTTCCCAGAGGAGAGAGGAAGGTCCCCTAGAATCTTTCACTATGCTGATCATAGTGAAAGTTTGTATGAAGCCTGTCTGTAATGACTGGAGGGGATTGATTTTTTTTTTTTAAATTTCTAAATCTCAACAAAAGATCATGTGGCATACAGAGAAATAGGAAAGCATGGTCCAAACAAAAGGGACAAAATAAATCTCTAGAAACCAACTGTAAATATATATAGATCCATGAAGTATATGACCTTGAAAATGTATTTGTATACTCATGTTTATTGCATCATTATTCCCAATAGCTAAGAGATGGGAGCAACCCAAATGCCCATCGATAAATGAATAAAGAAAATGTGGTGTATATGCATACAACGGAACATTAATCAGCCCTCCCAAAGGGAGAGGTCCTGCTACATGCTACAACATGGATGAAACTTGAGGATCTTATGCTAAATGAAAGAAATCAGATACAAGAGATGAGTACTGTGTGACTCCACTCATGTGAGCTGCCTAAGTAGTCACAGAGCCAGCGTGACACGGAAAGTGGAATGGTGGCTATCAGGGGTTAAGGGTAGGAGAACATGGGGAGTTCAATGGTTAATGAGTTTTAATTTTGTAAGATGAAAAACTTTTAGAGATCTGTTACACAACAGTGTGAATATAATTAACACTGTTGGACTGTTCACTCAAAATAGTTAAGGTGGTAAATGACGTGTTTTTTGTTTTTTTTTTTTTACCACAGTTAAACATTTAAAAAATAAAAATCAAGAAGTTAACTTGATTTAAGAAAATAATGCTTTGTTTCTCACTTTCTTTCCTTCACAGTAAAGTCACAAAATACCCCTTTGCTCCTAAATCAGTGGTTCTGAACATGGGAGTTGGGGAGGCAGATTTTGTTCTCTCTGCATCAGGGACATGTGATGATATCTGGCAACATTTCTGCTTGCTACACCAGAGGTGGGGGTTGCTACTGGATTAAACCACAGAATCTGATATACATCCCACTGTGCACAGGACAGCCCCTACCACAAGGAATTCTATAGTCCAGAATGTCATTGGCAGCTTCCTTTGAGAAACCCTGTTCTAGTGTATTGATCAGCAAGTTATTATTCCAGCCATCTTCCCCCTCCTTGTTAGGTGCTTGGAGTTTAGGCTCTGGAAATAACTGAGAATGTAAAAGGTGGGACGGGAGGAAACAGAAAGACTAGAGAGAGGAGTCTTTTCCTTGGAGATTACTGAAGCCCAAAAAGAAAAGAAAAAATGAGGTTGGGGGATATTGGTGGTGGGAGAATGAGCAGGTCTGTGTGGAGGGAAGATAGCAAGTCCACCACACTGGGGCTGGTACTTTGTAGGCAAGAGGAAAGGAAGCTTGTGGAGCTGGCTGCAGTCATCTCCGGTTTCTCTCCCTAATCACCAAAGTCAGCTTCCAAGGAACGACCAGCCAACAGCATGGAGGCTTCCCCAGTGTTAGTTTGAATTTGTTGAGGTCGGGCTGAATCTTCCCCCTTCTGTGTACCCTATATTTCACCTCTTCCCTTCAGGTGCCCAACCCTTCTGAAGGGTGGAGATGTATTGTTAGAGAAAGAGAGTAGTCAGAAGAGGAATTTGATTCTACAGTAGACAGTGATTGGGCAACAGGTGTTGAAAAGTTGCCAAAAGCTTGGAGAATTAGAAAATAAAAAAATAAATTAAAAAAAACAAATAGAAAAAGACATTTTCCCCATGTCCTATATTACTATTAGTAATTAATAATTAATTATTACTAATAATTAATTTAAAATTGCACACAAACTTTATAGCTACCCTGTATATTATTGAATGTTCCTTGAAAACAGCATAGTAAGTTATTACTATTGTTATGGTTCGTTATACATTATGCAATATTATTATTTATGAATATTACTATTACTATCGCTAACCTTGAAAGAGGATACTATGTAACCAATAGTATCACTCTAGTTTCTTAAATATTACTATTACTATTTATGAATATTGCTATTATTAGTTCCATATTATTGAAAACTCCTTGACAGCAGTATAGGCTTTTTATAAATATTTTCTCCCATCCTTATGACAATTGTCCAGCTTTGGTACTGTTGCCCCATTAAATAGGTTAGAAAAATGAGGTTCCAAGAAAAACACAGACCAAGCTAGTAACAGGGAAGCCAGTCACAGAGTGGCCATTCACACACAAAGCTCCACAACTTCCATACTCTCCCAGTCATTCCTTCATTCCTTTTGTGTCTTTTTTTCCTGAAGTTGCCAGGAGTTTAACGAGAAAGGAAATGAAGGCTCATTTCACAATTCTGCAGTTTGTAAGTTAAGTCATGGCATGGCAGTTGACACATAAAGCTTCCATACTTCCTTGGTTATTATTTGGTTCTTTTTCTGATTATTCTGAAGTTGCCAGGAGTTTAACGAGAAAGGAAATGAAGGCTCATTTCACAATTCTGCAGTTTGTAAGTTAAGGCATGGCATGGCAGTTGACACGTAAAGCTTCCATACTCCCCTGGTTATAACTTGGTTCTTTTTCTGATTATTCCGAAGTTGCCAGGAGTTTATGAAAAAGGAAGTGCAGGCATATTTCACAATCCTGCAATCTGTAAATACCATATCCTGTGCAGCTGTAACACCAGAGAAAGGAAGGGCTGGTGACTTTCAGAAGATGAAGGCAGGAGGAACTATTGGCAGGACTGCCTGAAAACCCAGAGTTCAAACCTCCTGGGAGTTTCTGAGACCTCAGCTGGAACCGACGGGCTGGGCTGGTCCCCTGGTGCAGGTAGGCAGTGCTGACCGACATTGCTCAGCTCCCCGCTCCCTTGCTCTGACCCCAGTAGAGAGGTAATTTAACTTGAAGCTCCTTGAGAGCAGTTCAGAGACATTGTAGCATAGAAATAGAGTGGGCAAATGTTTTCATAAACATTTTCTCTGTTTTCTTTGGAATGTCTGGTTTTAACTCTATTTCTGCTATTTTCTAATGCATGATCTTGGCGAGTCACTTATCTAAGGTCACATAATTAATGGGATCAGAATTCTTGTCTCTTCAAATGTTTGCAGGTAACTGGAAAACTGGACAGTCCGTGAGTCAACAGTAGAGTAGTGAAAAGACATCTAAGCTGAGTTCAGAAACTAATACCATGGGCAGCTTGGTCCTTATGCTAGCAAGTGGAATGGCTGGCCTTGAACTCCGATGTTAGGATTCCAAGACTTATTATTATACCACTGCATGTAGCTGCTTTGTAGGACTGAAGGAATTCAGACACAGGCTGCCATTGGTACGTGAGAAAGTAGGAAGAGGTAGCATGATCTACAGAATTGGACAAAGACATCAAATTCAGGGAAAGCCAAGGCCCAAGGCTGGTTCAACAGCTTTCCATGTGTGTGAACAAGGTCAAGCAATAATGGTAATTGCAAATCCTTCTTCAGCATTAAGTCTATGCCATGTGTATATGCAAAGTGCAATACTGATACTCGTAACTTAGACTTTTTATTTATGAATTTTCTTGTCTATTACCATATTTTGCCATGCGTTATATGCTCCTGTGTATATGTACATTTGGCCCAAACTTTCAGGAAAAAAATCTTTCCTTTTAATTTTTTAAATTCAAATTTATATTTGTTTATATCTAGGCACTTGTTCTTCTGGGGTATTCTATTTTGCATATGGGTATCATCATTGCTTTATAGAGTTACACTTTCAACATAAACATAAATAAAAGAATTAGCAACGTTTATATAGAAACAATTAGTACTACCCATGTATAATGCACATTCTTATTTTTCCCTCAAAAATTTGGGTGAAAAAGTATACAAAATACAGTACATGCTTTTGCTAACTAATATGCAGGGTTGTAAGGATTAAAAAAACTTCAGCATAATTTCTAAAATATGATAAAACTATCTAAGATTAATGCTAATAGATTGTATTACTAGACAAACAAGTAAATGAGCAAAGTAGTGTGAGTAGTACAGAAACTGAACAGGAAAAGAGTGAAGATTAGAACCTAATCTTACCTCATGACGGGTGGGATAATTTGAGGTTGAAAGTCATCAAATACATGGCAATACAGTTGCTGCAGGTAGGACTAAGGGGAAAAGGATACTGCTACAAATTACAAATTTGGAATGACCATTTGCCTCTGAACATAGGGACCTCTCAAGAGTCATTCTACTGCTGTCCTGTGACATGTTTATTATCTATAATTAATAGACCGTGTCAAACCTTATGGAGAATTTGTCATAAAACCAAGGTTATGTGAAAAACAGTGGTTTTCCATACTATACCAGCTGTTTCTTTTCCTAAAGTACAGGGCAAGTCTAGACTAATAGGCAAAAACTGACTTATGGAGCCTGGAAGCTTTATACACTTTAAGAGCTAAATGTATTTGTTTTCCAGGACTGGTAGCATCATCATGATATCACAACCCATGACCAATGATACCGTCATGGTGCTCCCCCCAAATGGCAACTTTTCCCAAACAGAGAAACCCAAGCCCACCAACCAGAGGCAAGACAGCCTGAAGAAGTGTCTAAAGGATGAAGTCAATGTTATTGGGGTAAATCTAATTCAGAACCTGGTGAAGAAGGGTGGGGGAAGAAGGAAGAGACTAGACATCCATTGTGAGTATGGAAACCCCTATGTCCCTAGAACTCTGAGATGATCTGTAGGTCAGTAAAAGCCACTTGGAGAGCTGCTTAAAATTTCCCAGAACCTTTCCATAAGAAGTATTTTTTTTTAATTGTTGGGGATTCATTGAGGGTACAAGAAAGTAGGTTATACTGATTGCATTTGTTAGGTAACCAGGTTACACTGATTGCATTTTTATCTTGTCACCAAAAGGTGTGTCACACACCGAGACACAAGAAGTAGTTTTAAAACTACTTTTTTCCTCACTCTGAATATGAGAACAATTGAGTCTTTCAGTATATTTGTTGTTTTTGTAATTTTGCAACACAGGACTTCTCTGTATTTTCTTTTACAAAAGTAACAACAGTGAGTGATTACATATTTTATAGACATTTTTCTATGTGATCACTAAGTGGCATGCTTAATAATCCATCTTGATTGTTTTTTAAGAGAATTTTTCCCACATTGCAAATTACAGGAAAACCACAATCCTTTCCCCTCTTTTTTCCTTCTTTTAAAAGATGATATCTACCTTTTGTTTGTCTCTCTTCTCTAATCAAGGATTTATTGAAGAAACTCCATTCAATGAAGGGAGAAGAAGGGATCTCTCTTAGACTGGGAAGGGATAGGGTTTTGGTTTCTAGAATTGTCTCTCTAATTACACCATCGTAGGTGGGGCACTCTGTGACTAGGTTCTAAAACCTGGTGGGTCTGATTTTTTTTTCCTCATGTACATAATCTCATTGATTTCTATGAGGCTCATGTGATGTAAGGTCTGGAAAACTGCTTGGTAAATGTTAATAGAGCCATGGCTCTCTGAGTTGTGTGTCAGCAGGGAGATCTTCACCTCTTAAAATAAAGCTTTAGGAACCTCAGCTGTAGAGACAAGTTGGGCCCGGGGGATGTGGGAGAGGCTTCCACTCTGCCCTGTTCAAGAGAGTGTGAGGGCCTTCACATGTCTCCTGTTCCCATAAGAAGTAGAAAGAGAGTTCCTAGTCATGGGGAACCAGATTCAAGCCCTTGCCATGAGCTGGGCGTAGGGGTCCCAGGCCCAAGAGACAGAAACACTTGAAGGCTTGCTGAACCCTTACTTGTCAGATGGCTTAAGATAGCAGCAGAACAGCATCCCTCCAAAACATCTTTTGCTCTTTCTCACCTCAGAGTTTTTCCATTAGCATCATTGGTACGGGGCTGGGGAGAGGGAGAGAACCTGTCTTTATAGATGCTGATTTTAATCCTCTGTCTCCCTTCCTCTTCCAACAGACTATTCAGATCTTTTGTGGCATGGTGGTGTTGAACTTGGGAATCATTTTAGCAGCTGCTTTCTTCTCTCCACATTTTACCCACGTGTCTTCTACCCTGTTGAAGTCAGGCTATCCATTTGCAGGACCCTTGTGTGTGAGTAGAGCTCCTGAGGTGGGCAGGATGGGATGGGGAAGGGAGGAAGATGCCAACACCTCGGGCTCTTTAGCTACCACCTTGCTGTGTTTCTGTCCAGCAGGAGCAAGGAGTCCATGGTGGGAACCTTCTTTCCTTTGTGAACATGGTTCAGGGAAGTATTGAGTGGGGTAGGATAGAAGGAGTTACCTGATTTTTAGATCTCATTTCTTTTGAAGATCATTTATTTTTCACTGTATCATCTTGAGCTATGATGAGGCCAGTGGCTTATCCATGGGTTTAGGCAAAAATCCAGGCAGTAGCATCAAGTTGGGAAGGGCCTTTCCATGTAACGAAATGAGCATCAGTGGAAGACATCACCCACTTACAGAGGAGCCACACAGATGTTTGTGGGAATTATGGAGGAAGAAGCATTTTGAAAATAATTTTTGCTGCATTTAGTGGCCCCCAGTGTAGGCTGAGCAGATGTTTAGGCTTAAGTGATGTCCTAGAAGTTGCTCTGGTGTCAAAAGGACTACTGAGCAGTCCTTTGGTCAGAGAACAGCTTTCCTCTAGGTTTGATATGGTTGCATCTTTCTTATAATTAAGCTTCTCTCTCATAGTTTTTTCCCAACTTCCTGCAACTCAGTATTTTTGTAAAAAGTAGTTGATCATTTATTTATCCCTATAAATGTAGAGTGTTACTCTGAGAGGGAAAAAACTCAAAGGGATGTATAGAAGACCTAAGTTCTTTCATGAACACTGTTGGGGCAGTGACCTGTGACCCCAATTGACCTTCAGACTGCATAAACTATTTTGCTTTTTCCATATTTGTTTCTGTAATTCATCCAGAAGTCCACCTTTTTGTCAATCTGGTCCGTTTTCTCTCATTTTATTAACATTAGCATTTTATCTGGATTTCACTAATTTTCTTCAAATATCCTTTTTCTGTCAAAAGATCCATTCAAGGTCACTGCATTACACATTCAGCCATGATATCTTTTTGAACTACTCTAGACTTTCTCAGACTTTCATTTTCCTTTACAATTTTGATGGTTTTGAGTGGCACTTGCCAGGATTCTTGAAGAACGTTCATAAATTTGGGCTAGTCTAATTTTTTTTAGACTAAAGTAATGAAGTTTTTGTTGAAGATGACACAGGTAAAGTTTCATTTTCATCAAGTCAGATCAAGGGTACATGCTACCAGTATAATAATGTCACTGTTGACATTCACCTTGATAAGGTGAGGTACTGATTTTTTAGGTAGTGGCTGAGGTAGTGATTTTTAGGTTTCTCCACTGTAAAGTTATTATTTTTCTTTATATTTCAGATTAATATGGGTACAAATGATTAAGTTACATTGTTTGCATTTGTTAGTTAGAAATCCAAGTTGTAGTTGAAGCCTTCACCCAGGAAGTGTGCATATACCCCTATATTGCACCTGTTAGGTGAGAAATTACCAAATCTCTATCTCCTCCCCTCTCTTCCTTCCTTCTTACCCTCATCCTTATTTAATTGTGTTTTTCTTTCTTGTGCAAGTTTGTACTTGTTCATCTACTAGTTTCATATTAATATTGAGTACATTGGATGCTTGCTTTTCCATTCTTTTGATACTTTACTTAGGAGGATGTTCTCCAAATCCATCCAAGTAAAGAAACCAGTCTCTTATAGCCATCTGATCTTTGATAAACCAAACAAAAGCATATACTGGGGGAAAGAATCCCTCTTCAATAAATGGTGCTGGGAGAACTGGATAATCACATGTAAAATACTGAAATTAGACCCTCACCTTTCACCATTTACAAAAATTGATTCGAGATGGATAAAAGATCTCAATCTAAGACAGGAAATGATAAAAATCCTAAAAAAAAGTACAGGAAAAACTCTTGAGGATGTCACTCTGGAGAAGAATTTTATGACAAAGGCTTCAGTAGCAATTACAACAACAAAAATTAACAAATGGGATTTAATTAAACTGAAAAGCTTCTGGACAGCTAAGGACACAACAATTGATGCAAATAGACAACTTGCAAAATGGAAAAAGATGTTTGCATATTATGAATCTGACAAAGGCTTGACAACTAATATCTATAGAGAACTCAAATTAATTAACAAACAAAGAGCAAACAATCCCAACTATCACTAGGCAAGAAACATGTACAGAATTTTCTCTGGAGAAGACAGATGAAATACATGAAAAACTGCTCAACATCTCTGGTCATCAGAGAAATATAAATCAAAACTACCCTTAGATATCACTTACCACCACCACTTACCACCCGCTGGTGCGGGTGTGCAGAGAGAGCTACACTTTTACATTGTTGGTGGGACTGCAAACTAATACAGCATCTTTGGAAAGAAATATGGAAAGTCCTCAAATTAGATCTCCCATTTGACTCCACAATTTCACTAGTAGGCATTTACCCACAAACAAACAAAAAAATACTTTATTATAAAGACATTGCTCTAGAATGTTTATTGCAGCTCAATTTATAATTCCCAAGATGTGCAAACAGCCTAAATGTCCATCAGCTCAGGAATGGATTAACAAGATATTTATGTATACATAAAGTACTATTCAGCCATAAGAAAAGATGGTGACTTTACCTCTTGTATTAACCTGGATTGAGTTGAAACACATTCTTCTTAGTAAAGTATCACAAAAATGGAAAAGCAAGTATCTAATGTACTCAATTTTATTATGAAGCCAGGAGGTGATCTAACCCATTCCTACATAGGAGAAAACCTGAATTCTATTCAAGTTGGGGGGAGAGGGAATTGGGGTATTGGTATGCTCCCACTTAAAGGGCACAAGGTAGGGTATGGGGCACACCTTTTGGTACAGGACATAACTATAAAAGGGACTCTACCTAACAAATTCAAAAATTGTGACCTGGTTATTTGTACCCTCACAATAACCTAAAATTTAAAAAAAGAAACAACAAAACAAAAGATATAAAGTCTCCTTATTTCTTTATGGCTGAATATTACTGCATGGAATATAAATACTATAGTTATTCCATTCATGAGCTGATGGAACAACAAACACTTGTGCTGTTTGCACATCTTGTTGATTGTGAATTGAGCTGTGATAAACATTCAAGAGCAAATCCTTATGGTAAAATGATTTTATTCTTCCAGGTAGATATCTAGTAATGGGACTGCAGATCAGGTGAAAGGTCCACTTTCAGCTCTCTGAGGATTCCCATACTTCCTTTCAAAAGCACTGTAGTTTGCAGTCACACCGATAGTGTGTATGTTCCTTCTCCCCACACCTGTGCCTGCACGCCTTTCTGTTGCCATAAGGGTGTTGCCGTAAGGGTCTCACAGAAAAGCAATGTCGCTAAGAATAAGCACACTTATTGAAATTGTGTTTTAAATAAAGGTGACCATCTGTTCGCTCAGGCAAAATGGCAAGCTCTCTTTATTTACAGTTGGTTTATATAGGGAATCTTGTGCATGTGCACTATACAGCAATGCCCTCATTAATATTCATTACAATCCCTCTGCACATGTGCCTTGGACATCAATGACTTCATTAATCCATTTAAATATCTTGTGACCACCCACCCTATTAATAGTTCCTCCCTAATAATCTGATAATCCACCCAACATATACCTTTAAGCATAATCCTTTCAACATAACCTGGTTTAACATAACTTAATGAAGAATATGTTGTCAGTCATTACTTTCTTTGTTCTTATCTGATAAAGCCTGAGACTATGGAGGAACAAGGTAGATTGAATATCTGCCCTTGTTGACCTTGCCAGTTTGGAGGCTGTTACTTCAAATCTTTAAGCAAGGCATAAAGAAACTTCTTGGGCATATAGGAATTTGTGTGCAAACCTCTGCTCCCATGTAGGCCTTAAGTCAGGGGGGTTTTGCTGGAAACTTTTTAAAGGAATTTTCAGGCTGGACTTCTCAAAAGCCTTTCATAAGCCCAGGCTTCATCTGTGCCATTAGATATCTGTATGCATTGGGTAAATTCCTCTTCTCGTGAGGTCCCCAAGCACATTTCCATTCCCGGACCTGTCAGTAAACAACCTTTGTCACTTACCACTGCTCTCTCTCAAACGGCTTTTTTGGCCAGAGGCATATAGGCACTTCACCTATAGCTTTACCTCCTCTTTGTATGCTCTGATCTCTAGAAGCAGGTCACAGAGCACAGCCCCCATCCGGAGAGGTGTGTAGTCTACTAGTTTTAACACTCAGTCTATATTTATATAGACAAATTATTTAATGCTGGGGTCACAAGAACCACAGCTTTTCTGAGAATTTTCTGTTACTTAACATCTCTTAATCTATTAGATCATGAATACTTCAAAGAGTGAAAATACTTTCTTTGATTTTGTAAAATAGCCTTTAACACCAGACTTTCTTTACTGCTTCTAAATGGAAAAAGAGAGAGTACTTGTATACTTTTACAAACACCAACATTACCCTGAAATCAAAGCCAGGAAAATACATTATAAGAAAATAAATAAAATAAAAAATACAATTCAATATCACTAATGAACATAAGTGATAAAATCTACAACAAAATACTAGGAAACTGAATTCAACAGAACGTTAAACAGATCATTCACCATGATCAAGTGACTTTTACCCCAGGGAGGCAAAGATTGTTCCATATACATGAACTAATGAATGTAAAACATCACATCAGTACAGTGAAGACAAAAACCACGTGATTATCCCTGTTCTTTCCTTTTCCCATGTCATTTCCTTTATTTTCCTCTCTAGAAAACATCTTACTCTAAAATTTTCTTATCTAATTAAAAACAAACAACAAATTCTTAACTGGCTTTTAAACTCCTCATTTTGTTTGTTAGGATACATCCCTGCTCATATCTGTGTTCTTTTTAATGATAGTTGACTATTATACAGTCAAACAACAACAACAACAGCACATTTATGCATTTAAATGAGTCTTGCATTTTTGGTCATTGGTTTCTGAGAGCTTTTCCCCTGGGGAGTTTCCCATAAGCAACACAATAGTAACATTGTCATCACACTACATATAAAAAACTACAGAAACTGACAATCATTTTCTCTCTCTTCTGAGTAGTTCATCATCTCTGGCTCCCTATCCATCATCACGGAGAAAAAGTCAACTAAGACTTTGGTGAGTATGAAAACTGTAACCCACATCCTGATGGACCAAAGTGAAACTTAGAACTCTTCAAGGCCAGTTCCTCCACCTTGCAAATCCAGAAACTAAGTTCCAGAGCATTGACTAAAGTCAGGAGCTGGGCCTGGATCCTCCATATCCCTGTTCAGAGCACAGTTCTCCAATGACTGTGCCTTACATCACAGTCTGTGTTCAGGGTATTATATTATTTCCTAGCACAGTGCTCAGGGATCTATTACAGAACAATTATGCCAACTTACAACGCCATTTTGGTGATAACTGGTCTTCACATTTAAGTCTTCAGTGGTGAAGAAGCTAATAGTGTTACAAATAGGTCTGTTTGTTGGAGTTTACTGTTAGGCCCATGAATTGTTAATAAAACCTTGGCAAAACCCAATCAAAATACCATTCATGTGAGGGATTCTCTCATTTATCTCATTCTTCCATCTCACAAGGAAGCTAATACTTTTATTTGGTTTGAATATAAATTATTGAGAGCTAAAAGTTATTATTAGTAATTTATACTAGCTAAGAAAAGAAAAACTTTATCTGCCTCTATTCCCTTATTCTAGGAAAAATAAGAATATGAAGTGGTGGGAATAAAAATCTTAAGAATAAGAATATGAAGTGGTGGGAATAGGGAGAAGCCTCTCTAGCCTGTCAAGTTTCACTAAGTCTCCACTCAATCCTATATCCCTCAATGGATGGATTTTGGAGGTCATGTGAGAGAATGTCACATAATTCAGTGGCACAGAAACTTAATTTGGAGGCTCTGGCTAGAAAAGATCTCCCCAAGACAGCAAGAAAGTGAGACAGAGTGCACGGGGCAATACCAATATCTCTTTTTTGGTCATCAGAATTTAGAGATTGTTATTTAGAACCCCCAGCTAGATCTCAATCCCCTATGCTATTCAGTGGAACTTTTTGTGATGATGGAAATGCACTGTATCCACTATTCCACAATGGCAGCCACATGCAGCTACTGACAACCTGAATTGTGGCTGGTATAACTGAATTTTAAATTTCACATAATTTTGCTTTAAATATGAATGGCCCATGGGACTAGTTACAACCATAGTGAATAATATGATATGAGTAATAGTTCCAAAGATTCATGGGGAAATATATGAGGCTTTTGCCTCAGAGAAGAGCATCCCCACAGTAAACATGCTGGAAACTCAAGGGTGCAGGAGTCAGGTTCACCTGAGACATCCAGCTGCCCTTGTCACATGTCAGAACAGCCTCTCTTGAGACTGAAGACCAATGCCACCTGAGAATACACCTAGTGCACCTGAGAAATACATACTCCAGGCATCATTATTGGTACTCGCTGTCAGGAGGCCCAGGAACATGCACTTCAGTCATTAATTTGAGAATTTGGGGCCCCTAAGCATCAACCACTGAGTTCCTAAAAGAAAAGAGTTGTATATGTGATTCACTAATGCTCTAACATGTGTGTGGCTGGTGGGTGGACCCTGCAGCCCACCTACCTATGGCTGTGGCTTTCAGAGTGGTCTTAACTCAATGCTCTTTCCTGTGAGGTACAAAGGAAACGACTTCTCTAAGATCAGCGTATTTACCTCCTGCACTTCTGAGTATAGAAAAGAGACCCAGAGTGGGAAGGAAAACTGAAGAACGAAGTAGCTGAGGAAACAGAGAGCTGAGGCAGACCCAGCGCTGTGGACTTTAGCTTCACATCAGTCCAGACCTTTGTCTCTCACCTCTTGCTGCCTCCCACAACTTATGCCACCTTTGACCACATCTAGACCTCTGCCTACAGCCACACACATGTGGCCCTAGATGTAGCCAATCTCATGCCTGTCCAGGCTCCTGGGTTTGCCTGAGACTGAGAGTCATATCCCCTTTCCTCATCTTCAAATGGGTGTGCTTCTGAGAGAGGCAGCATGTGCACAGCAGAGGAAACTGCTCCACCTGCCTTTTCTTTTCTTTTCTTTTTCCTTCCCTACCCTTCCCTTTCTTTCCCTTCCTTTCCTTCAGATTAATATGAGGGCACAGGGCAGCGCCTGTGGCTCAGTGGGTTCAACACCAGCCCCATATACCAAGGGTGGTGGGTTCAAACCCAACCCCAGCCAAACTGCAAAAAAAAAAAAAAAAAAAAAAAGGAGGAATAAGAAGAAGAAGAATAGAATCGCCTAAGCTCAAGAGCTGAAGGTTGCAGTGAGCTATGATGCCATGGCACTCTACTGAGGGTAATAAAATGGGACTCTGTCTCTAAAGAAAAAAAAAAAGATTAATATGAGGGTACAAATTATTAGGTTACATTGCTTATTTTTCTAAGGTGAAGTTCAAGTTGTGTTTGAACCCTTTACCCAGGGGGTGTGCTGTATACCCTTGCAATGTGTCCACTAGGCGAGAGCACACCAATCCATATCCCTCCTTTCCTCTCCTCCCCTCCTTTTCTCCCCTCTCCCCAATAGAATATACTTGTCTTTTTCTCTCTTGTGGGCATGTAGTTGTTTTTCTATTGATTTCATATTAGTATTGGATACTTGCTTTTCCATTCTTGTGGTATGTTAATAAAAAGAATGTGTTTCAATTCCATCCAGGTTAATACAAAAGATATAAGGGCTCCATCTTTTTGAATGGCTGAATAGTATTCCACAGTATACCTATACCACAATCCATTCATGGGTTGATGGGCATTTAGGTTGCTTCCATGTCTAAGTAGCTACCAGAAAGAAAAAAATATCATTTTATCTCAAGGACATTTGCACTAGAGTGTTTATTGTAGCTTACGTCACAATTGCTAAGACATGGAAGCAATCTACCTGCCTTTCTACACAAAGGTCCTGCAAAGCTTTTCTTTTCTTTCTTTTTTTTTTTTTTTGCAAAGCTTTTCTGAATGAGTGGTGGGAGAGAGAAACTACACCTGGGGTGCTGTGCCCTTGCTTTTGGTCACATTGTCTTGGGAATTTTGCAACCGAAGCCTCCTGGAAGCCTTGCTGTCAGTCTAGGGCAAATAATTTAAGGACAGCAACATTCTCTGCCACACCACTGAAGTCCTCTTAAGAGGGGAAATCCTTTATGTATTCATTCACTCAGCCAAGATTTACCATATAGGTTCAGGGATTTTTGCTAGCCACTGGGGAGATAGACATAAGTAAATCATCAATCCCAGATCTCCTGAAGGAGGCAGAGAAGGGAATAACTTTTAATGGAATAGCAAAGAGGTATAAGGGACATTTGCTGCTCATTAGAGTGATTCTTACTGAATGTTTCCTTTTTAGGTTCACAGCAGCCTGGCTGGAAGCGTTCTGAGCATTGTGACTGCTCTAGTGGGTTTCATTCTCCTCTCTGTCCACTTGGCTGCCCTGAGTGCTGCCTTGTTGCAGTGTGAGTTGGACACACAGAACAAGCCAACAGTAAATTACAGTTATCACTTTTACTATGATCCATATTCTATGAACGGCTGCTTTATGGCCAAAACCAGTCTGGTTGTAAGTATTTTTAGAAGGGATGTTCTAATTTCATGAGGTTGAGGTTTCCGAAAGATTTGATGTCTTATTATTTCTTCTTTTGAAAATGTTTCTGTTTGGGCATTTGGGGGGAAGGTCATGGTTGTATAAGTGAGAGAGGGCTATGTGGATGAAATTAAGGGGTGAGGCTGTGTAGGATTACATACTAATAGAATGAAATTGAAAAGTAAATGTCAATTAAGGGTGATAATGAAATTAAACCTTAGTGTGGATAGAGTTTCTTAATTCTCAAACTAATTGAATTTTAAAGGTATAAAATATGAATTTATCAAACAGAATCTTGGTACAAAGATTGGTGAGTTAAGAAAGGCACACATAGTTCAGATGGTAGGGAAACCTGCATGTGTGTGCAGTGGGGAGTTAACCTGGTCTGAGAGGACATCAAATCCAGCATGAAGAAATGCAGAGTAGGAAACAGGGGGTTGGAAGACAAGGGCTTCTGCCCCTTCCACTGATCACCACAACCAGTAGTATCGTTCAGGAGAGAGGGCAATCATTGTTGCTTAAACTAGGAGATAAGAAATATAGGAAGATGGACAATGTTAACTGATAATGATTATAAGGGAATTCTGTTTCTTGGGAAGAAAGAAGAGCAATAAAGTTTGGCTAACAGAAGTAATATGTCTTAAGATGGCAGATTAAGGGTCAACAATACATTGAGAGAAAAAGCAGGCAACATAAGAATAAGAATTGTCCTGCAATCATAAAAGTGAAACTCAGATAGAAGATGGACGGATAGAAAGGTCTGGTCAAACTCAACGCTCACATACCACTCCTTATAAAGCTGGCTTTGCTTCTTCCCAAGTTCATGATATCATAATGAGAAAAAGTACATGCAAATGAGGCTGACAGTAATTGGTATAAATTAACATCTGGCACAGCCAATTCCAATTAGGGAAAAAAATTCTGGAGAGCAGTTTGGGAAGAATCTTTGCAGTGAACAAAATACCAGTTCAGGATGGGACAATTTTATGTTGTAAGTAAGAGAGATTATGTGGGGTTTGCTTGCTGTGAGAATTTCTAGCTAATGGAGACACAAACCATGTGTCAATACCACAAACTTAAGGTATATGTGATCAAATCACCCCTCTTTTTAATAACATGCGCCGTTCTGCATGAAAGATGCCTCAAGACAGAAATAGTAGACCCTCTTGATGTAGTTTTGTTTTTGAATTTGTTTGAATTACTACCAACAGTGGCAGTTTGCTACCTTGATGGTTTTTTTCCTGCCTCTTACAACCACCAAGACAGGCCCCAAACACCCACGCAAAAGGGTTCAGATATATGGAAGGGGGTAGGAATGCTGAATTTTACAAAGGGCTTACACAGTGAAAACTTCGATGATTGTCACAAATCACCAAGAAGAAAATACTACCATGCATATCTGATAAATGAGGAAACAGCTAGAGAAGGAGAGAGACTTATCCAGGCTCGCATAGCTACTGAGCAGTAAAAGTGTGACTAGGAGAGGAGGTGTTGATTCCTCCTTACTGAGGAACAATGTCATAAGAATTATCTGTGTCTCCAAGAGGTAAGAAAATGAGTGTATAAAGTGGGTTGGTTGGTTTAGTTCCTACTCATCACCTCTCCTCCTGAGGTTGAAGTCAGCCAACTGTGAGGCAGGGGAGGAGTGCTACTCTCTTCCCAACAGAGAGAGAGTCCTCACTTCATTCTCTGATGGTTGAGATGGTCTTCCTCTCCACAGTCACCTCCCAAACAGGCATGAAATTTTCAGCTGATTCAAACAACACCAATCTCTTATCTCCTGACTTTCAGGGAACTTTGTCTTTGATGCTGATTTGCACTGTGCTGGAGCTCTTCCTGGCTGCACTCACTGCTGTGCTTTGGTGGAAAGAGGCTCACTCTGACTTCCATGGGGTGAGTGTACCAGCCAGCCTTGCTGAATCCTGCCTGGTGTGTCTCTGCGCTGTGTTGAGCTATATCACCAAGAGTGGCAGAAAGAACACGGGAGGTGGTTTTGGTGGTGGTGGACGACAGTCAGATAAGGAAAGCAGATGGCAGTTAAGTAGCTGACCAGCTGAGGATTCACTGGATGTGAAGACAGTTAAACTTAAGCAATCAACTTACTCAATTCTCCCATTTTTCCAAAGAAAGAACTGAGGCTCTATGAAGTTGAATGACTTGCCTGGTATTATGGTATGAGCTTGTGCCCATGCTCAGGCATGAGAACCTGGCTTGGCTCCTTTCTAAGCAGCAGTAAGTTCAGCCACAGCCACTAGTTTCCTTAATAGTCTTGAGTTGGTAAAGAGCAGTTGAACATGTGACTGGATTCAGTAAATGCCTTATGCTCTGCTTTTCTTTTTGTGATTTTAAAATTCTTTTTTTGCTTAAAAGATATAAGAAATTATTATGGAATCGAATTCCATGGGACACCATACTACTGCAAGCATGGATTCATGGCTTCATTTAGCTGAATTAAAAAGCTTTGATATATGGCCAGGCTTGGTGGCTCATGCCTGCAATCCCAGCACTTGGGAGGCTGAGGCGGGTGGATCTCCTGAGCTCACAGGTTCGAGACCAGCCTGAATCAGAGTGAGACCTTGTCTCTAAAACATTGTTGTGGCAGGCACCTGTAGTCCCAGCTACTCAGGAGGCTGAGGCAAGACAGTAGCTTGAACCCAAGAATTGGAGGTTGCTGTGAGCCATGATGCCGCAGTGCTCTACTGTAGGTGACAAAGTAAGACTCTGTCTCAAAAAAAAAAAAAAAAGCTTTTATTTGTCAAAATTTTATTATACAGAGCAGAATGAATTTCTAAGGATAATGAATAGTTATTATGCCATACCCACTTTGGAATAGATAAATATTCTGTGTTTAAAGATGGAGGAAATAGCATCACAATATATACACACACATACAGAGTTCCTTTAAGAAAGGAAAAAAGTGTATTAAATTCATAATACTCAAGTCACAGTTGGCTTCTTCAATTGCAAGAGATGCTCAACAAGACTTATATTCATCTTTTGTTATCTGTGTATATTGAGTCTTACAATTTTAATACACTTTTTCCTTTCTTAAAATGTATATAAGTTTTTTGGCACCTTCTGTGTGTATATAGTATACACAATATGTTGTTTATGATATGTTTTATAAATTATTATATATTTTATGTATTTTTATATAATGTAAATTATTAATAAATAAAACAAAATATTAATATATTATTGTTATATATTATTATATAGTATATATTTATGTTATATATAGTATAATATATCATTTATATGTAACATATACATAGTTTATAAATATATATAAAAAGTTGAAACTCAGTGAAGTCTGAACATATAATGTATTTTGTTTCTTCTAGACCATGCATTTCCTGCCTCAGAGTTGCAAGGGTATATCCAACACACAAACGCCTTGTGACTATGCATATGAAGAACTATTGCATCCTTAGGAAAAAAGGGGGACAGGGAATATTCGTCACAAAGTTACTCTTTATAATAAAATAGCAAACCTAATCATTATGTAAAACTCAGAGTTTCAGTCTGCTAAATGTAAGTTTGTTAGGCAATAAGTATTTTTAAAAAGTGTTTTCTTCTCGTTGAATTTGTATGTCGAATGAGGGTCTCTTGATTTGCCTGATATTGACATCAGCAAAAGCCCAGAGCTATAAAATACCTTTTCTTAGACTGTCCTAATAGTCACAGCTGGTGCTCAGAAAAACAGTTAAAATGATGACTCAGTGGATTGTGTGCAAGCAAAGGAAACATTTTTTCTTATACCCCTTAACTGTCAAAAGGAGTTAACTGATTTTTTGTGGTGTTCAGACTCCTGTAACAGGCACTAGTGTTTTATCACCTGTATTTTCCTCATCTGTGCATGGAGATAAGACCCTAGCATGAAGTTCAGGGGGTATAGCAGTATCTGGTTTTAAAATAAAAATCTTTATTTGAATGTATATTCTATTTGAAAACTTATTTTGCTATTTTTCCTTTAAACACAGAGGAAATTGACAATGATAGATAGAAACCTAAATTTGAATAGCCTTTTCTCAACGTTAAATATTCAAACAAAACAAATAAACAAAAGCTAATCAGGAATGCTCGTCTGTTGATGAAAAACAACTAGTTAATATTTGTTTCTTATTTCAAAGTAAGAAAATACTTGTTGAAAAATAAATGTTAAGCTTCAGCGTGCATGTGCAAACACACACACACACTGACAGAGATATACATATGTGCAGCATAGTATCCTCAGTTTTATATGAACTCCATTTCTTGAAAAGATAATGTCATGTTTTTCTTGCCCTGTCCCACCATAGCAGGGTCATCTTCATTGTATCGGATCTTCTGGGGCTCAATTTCCCTGCTGTTTATTCTCAGAGACTGGGATGTTAGTTCCTTTGATTTTAGGAAAGGAAATTCTAATTTCTCAGAATTCTTTCTAATCAGAATTTCTTTGCAAATTCTGTCTTTATTGTCTCCCTTAGCCTCCTCTGATACACACACAATTTCTCATTGTTATTTACCTTTTGCAGCATTCCACTATTTTTGTTACTAGGCACTAGACATTATGCCTGATGCCAGGGTTATCATGGCAGATAAGATACACTCTAGGCTTCAAAGAACTTATAGTCAAATAGGGGAAACAGAGATGACAACGAAATTGTTGTACATACATACAGGGCACCAAACCATATTTGAGCACAGAATAAAGAATGTCTTCTTCACCTAAAAGAATGTAGAGGATAAATGTCTGTGTGTGTTTGTGCGTGTGTGTGTGTCTGAAGGTAAGAGGGCAGGAGAGACAGCAAGAGGGCAAGAGAGACTTTTTTTCAGTTTTTGACCAGGGCTGGGTTTGAACCTGCCACTTCCAGCATATGGAGCCAGTGCCTTACTCCTTTGAGCCACAGGCACCACCTGGAAAGAGAGACTTTTCTTTGAAAACTTCCTCCAGTGCTGATCACATGGTGTCACCTTTCTGCCACCAGGGAGGAATATGACCCACAATACACAATGGCTGTATCTATCTACTGTGCTCCCTGTCTAGCTTTATTCCTCCCCTGGCCACCATACTGTCATCACCACCACACTGCCACCTCTGCCATGATCACCCTGTAAAATTTCTGGTGTCCAGGTCAGGCTATCTCCTGGGCTTCTTTTCAGCTTTGATTAGTGTGTCAGAGCAGGTGGACAGATCTTTGGGCAACATTCAAAACCTTGCTTTCTCCTAGGCTCAACCTAACTGCTAAGTCAGCCACCCATGCCTTTTCTTTCAACTAGCAATGACCCTCCTGCCCCAGTCAAATGAGAATGGTGTCTACCTTGAGACATGAACATTTATTGAAATAACATTTATAAAACAGTTACTACCACATCTGGCACATAGCAGAGACTCAGTTAACTTGAGTTGTATTCTCTCTTTTCTTCCCTTCTCCTTCCCTATTCCAACTTGATCCTCTGATACTTTAACCCCACTACTCCTCTGGGATTTTGAACCTGATTGTTCTTATCAAATCTTTTAATTTACTTTTTCAAAAAAGTCTGTAGATGAGAGCTTATCAAGCCTAATGGGCACAATTAGGTTTGAATGTATATTCTATTTGTTTGTTTGTTTGTTTGTTTCAGATTTTGGCCGGGGCTGGGTTTGAACCCGCTACCTCCGGCATATGGGGCCGGTGCCCTACTCCTTTGAGCCACAGGCACTGCCCCTGTGTATTCTATTTGAAAACTTATTTTGCTATTTTTCCTTTAAACACAGAGTAAATTGACAATAATTGTTAGAAACCTATCTATTGCCTTATACCTAGGTGTATAAGGCACACCTCCTAGGGGAAGGGCTCAACTACAACTTGGACTTTACCTAACAAGTTTGTGGCAAACAATGTAACCTAATCGTTTGTACCCTCATACTAATCTGAAAAAAAAAATCAGGAGGAGGAGGAGGAGGAGGAGAAGAAGAAGAAAAAGGAAAGGAAAAAGAAAAGAAAGAAAAAAGAGAAGAGAATAAAAGAAAAGAAGAAAGAAAAGTCTGTAGAGTTCTCTAAACAGAGAATCTCAGGCTGTGTAGTAAACATACTTTCTTTTCCCTTTGTTACTTTCCCTTGAGAAAGTTTTAGACTTAGCAAGCCTTTTTTCGGTTTCTATACAGTTGACTCTATTAACACCTTGGGGTGATAGTGAGGAAGAATTTTACCTCCCAGAGAAACAGGAAATGCAAACACAGATGGTCCTAATTGTACCTCCATGGAGAATTTCCTGGAGGCAGCTCACTTGACCTCAGGAAATCACATCTGCAACCTTTGCCCTTTACAATATCTCCATATCTCATCAGTGTGTGTGTGGGGGGGGGACTATGCATCTTTCAAAAATTATTTTTTATTTACATCTGCAAAGGATATTTACCATAATAACTGTAGCTATAAGAGAGCTGGAATGGCTATATTCATATCAAACAAAATATACTTTAAAATAGGAAATACTGTTAGAAAAAGGAACATTTTATAATGATAAAACAGTCAATACAACATCAGGAAGATACGATGGTAAATAAATGTGGCCTAACAGCAGAGCCCCAAATATATGAAGAAACATGGTAAAATTGAAAGAATTTGAAAATGCCCCAGTAATGGATGGATTTTATAATGCCCAATTCTTATTTATTCATAAAAAATAGGCAGAATATTAAGAAGGAAATAAAAGACCTAACCCTCTCATCTACTTAACTGACAGACAGACACACGTGCGTACACACATATATATAGGTGCATATGTGTATATACATGTATGTGTGTGTGTGTCTCCACCTACAGGTTGCAGAGCACCCAAACTTTTCAAATGTTCTCATGGAAAATTATCCAGCATAGATCATGTGGCAGGCAGAATTTTCAGATGACTCCTAATTATCCTCACTTTTGTATAATTCCCGCCCAGAATTTGGGTGAAACCTGAGAATATCATAAAATACCACTCCCAGTATTATACTATGTTATACGGCAAAGGGACTTTCAAAGATAAAATTGTGGATACCAATTAAGTTGACTTTGGGTTAGCCAAAAAGAGATTATCTGGGCACACTAACCTAATCACAGGAGTTCTTTAAATCTGAGTCTAGAGGTCAGAGACAGAAGTCAGAGATGCAGTAGACATATTCTCCTGCTGGCCACAAAGAGTCGATTGCCACGTTGTGGACAAGGCTATGTAACAGGAAAAAGAGGATGCCCTCTAAGACGTTCCAAGTTGACAGAGAACAAGAAATTTTAAATTCATTCTCAGAGTTGCAGGGAACTGAATGCTGCAAATACTCTGAATGAACTTGAAGGAGGAGCCTGTGCCTGAGATGATAATTGTAGCCCTGGCCAACACTTGATTTCAGCCACATGAGATCATGAGCAGAGAACCCATTCACATCATGCTCAACTCCAGACCCAGGGAAACTGCGAGATAATAAATTTGGATTTTATTGAGCCTCTAAGTTTGTAATAATTTATTTGTTATATAACAATAGAATTTTTTCTTTTATTGAAACAGAGTCTCATTCTATCTCCTGGGGTACAGTGCCATGGCATCATAGCTCCCAGCAACCTCAAACTCTTGGGCTTAAGAGATCCTCCCACCTCAGCCTTCTGAGTACCTGGGGCTACAGGCGCCCACCACAATGCTGAGCTAGTTTTACTATGTTTAGTAAAGACTGGGCCTCACTCTTACTAGCTTGATCTTGAACTTCTGAGCTCAAGCAATCTCCCTGCCTGCCTCCCAGAATGCTAAAATTACAAGTGTGAGCCACTACACCCAACCCTGCTACCAAAAAAAATAATGCCTCAATTGTCATTGATGTCCTCCTGAGTCACAATAGTGAAAATTAATACAGATCATATGGTAAGTCTTAACATGAGATAGGCCTAATCAATTTAAATAATATCAGGTATATTATCTGACCAAAACAGAATTATTTTAGAAATCAATAGCAGAAATAAATTTGTGAAATTCCCACATAAATAGAAGTTAAAATCACTCAATTCTCAACCCTGTATAAAGAAATCACAAGGGAAATTAGAAAACATTTTGAACTGAATGAAAAATAAAATACCCACATTTAAGGGATATATTAAAGTAGCACTTCTGGTCTCAAATTGATAACCTAAGTAAGGGTAGAGTGCTATGGCTTCACTGCTCACAGCAACCTTCAACTCCTGGGCTCAAGCTATTGTTCTGCCTCCACCTCCCAAGTAGCTGGGACTACAGGCGCCCGCCACAACACCTGGCTATTTTTTGGTTGCAGCCGTCATTGTTTGGTGGGCCAGCCTGGATTCGAATGATTCAAACCCGCCAGCTCAGGTGTATATGGCTTGTGCCTTAGCCACTTGAGCCACAGGCGCCAAGCCTTCAACCAAATTTGTAGTAATTCAACAGTTTCTTCAGCTGGGCTTCTGTCTTTGAGTTACTCAGGCTGGGATAATATGTGAAAGAATACTGTGGGAGCCTCCTATTAGTTTTGCTTCTATGGAGAATTCTTCTTTCTACCAGGCATCCTCAAACTGTGGCCCATGGGCCACATGCGGCCTGCTGAGTAGATTTATCTACCCAGCTGGGTGTTTTTGCTGCTGCTGCCTGTCCTGCTTAGCAGCCAACTCGTCCTGGGGCCCGCAGTCCTGCCCTCCAACGGTCTGAGGGACAGTGAACTGGCCCCCTGTTTAAAAAGTTTGAGGACCTCTGA